GATCAAGGTCATCCAGCTTATAAGTAGTCATACTGCCTAAAAATTAAGGCATATTTCAGCCTTGCAGAGGCCTTATAAGGCGCTGTAACTAGGGAAATACAGTACATATACTGTGCACATACTGTATCTTTTAGTTTTTAGTTTTCTTGTTTTTTTAGAAAATTGGGGTTTTTGCACTCTTGCACACCCTATCTAAGGTGCCACCGTAACCAGACATTACCCCACGACACGGGATTATGATTTTTGTGCAGGCCGTCGACTGATTGCATTTTCAACAGCAACAAGCTCGATCCGTGCAGACTGCGCTCTCCAGCTATTAAAATGGCATACAACCCGCGGATGAGCATCATCCCCGCCTCGCAGCAGCAATCTCGGTCGAGGAAAAAGGAAGAAGAGGCCGACGCGTTTATGCGACTGCCCGACCGCGAGATCGTGGGATGCATCACCGACATTGGCATCAACTTCACCATCGCCGACCTCCAGAAACCCAACCCGGCGCATGTCCAGCAGATCTTTGAGTGGTTCGCCGAACTGCTTCTGAATGCGACTCGCGAGACGGTCGAACCGGCAATGCGCGCCGCAGCCGAGGACATTTGCGGCGAGTTTGCCGACGTCGTTTCACCAGACACGCGCAACCTGATGGGTTTTTTTGTCTCGCTACGGCGGCTGCTGGTGGAGTGCGGCATCCAAGATTTCAGCTTCAATGATTTATACAAGCCAACGTACGAGCGTCTGGTCAAGATTTTCAGCTATCTCATCAACTTCGTCCGGTTTCGAGAATCTCAGACAAGCGTCATTGACGAGCACTATAACAAGGCTGAATCGACAAAGACGAGAATAGAGGCTCTGTACGGCGAGAACCAGGACAACGAGTCAAGGTTGGAGGACATGAAGAACAACCGACAGGCTATGGAGGCTCAGGTGCGAGAGAAGACAATGCGAAACGAAGAGCTAAAAAGGCGCTTACTGGAGCTGCGACGAAGCCAGGAGAAGGTTGCGGCACGATTGGAGGAAGCGAAGCAGAAAAAAGGCGAGTTGACAACTTTGCTGGAGCAAAGGACGCAAGAGAAGATCACGATGAAGCAAGAGAGCGCCAAGCTGCGGCCTTATGTACTGCAGAGCCCGTCCGCTCTCCAACAGAACCTAACAGAATTACGAGATATTCTCAACAACGACAAGACGCGTATTGATGCACTTGACCGACGAGCTCGAGCGCTGCAAACATCGGCGGATTCGTTTGGCGTAGTAGGAAGCGATGTAGCATCTTGCATCAAAATCCTGGAAGAGATTGCCATGGAAATGGCCAAGGAGGATGAAGAAATGGCCAAAAACACAAAGCAGCGCGAGGCCTTATCAGAAAGAGGAAATAATGCGCGCGAAGTGGAGCGAGCAGAGCAAATGCTTAAGCGACAGCTTGCCAAATGGAACGAGCGGACAGAGAAGCTGCGCGAGCAGAGCAACCAAAAGGCGCAAGATGCCAAGGAGAAGATGCATGAGCTGCGAGCCACACACAAGAAGCTCACAGAAGAACAGACAAACAAGGGCAAAGAAATGGAGATTCGAAGAGTGAGGATTGAGCAGACAGAGAAGAAGGTATGCAACCAGCCCCTTGTGCTGTATTCAGTACCAGAGTGCGATACTAACAGTGGCTAGATGCTTGATTTAAAGGAGAATATCGAGAATGAAGTTCATTCGGCATATGACGAGTATCTCAAGATGGAAGCTCACATCAAGCTATACATTACTGAGATGGAACAGACAGTCGGCTAAAGTACGACTCAGGGAGAAACAATGATGCTAATTTTTTTTTTTTTTTTCAAAGCCTGATGGGCTGTATATGTTGGAATGCGGCGACAAAATGGAGGCTTCAAAGGCGTATATAAGCGACTGAGATAGAGATACCACGGTTTGGGCGTTGAGGTTTGGAGGCTTATCATGGAAAATCTTGTTTATACGTGGGATGATTGACTGACGATGTTCTGAGCATGATTATGATGGATTTGACAGGAACCGGACATTACTTGAATATTACTCTTTACAATTTTTACACTCTCATCTTAATCTTTCAACGAGCCTCATCCTCTGTCTTGCCGCTCAAACTCGAACCAGCGAGCGAGCACTCTTTTAACCGGAACTGTGCGTCCACTCCACGTCCCATCACTCTTCATATCAGTGCCGCTTAAAATGGGCACGCTTTCATCCAAAAACTCGTCCAGAGTATCAAAACCCATGGCACCTCTGGGCTCTACCACAGCTGCTGTGAAGGAGTTTCTCGCAGCTGCTTCAATGAGATACGTCGCTGTGGTGCCGACGCCTTGAGCTGACCACTCGATGCTGTCGCGGTGAAGTTCCAAGAAGCCGTAGACAATGAGCATTGGTGGCTCGGAAACATTTGCGTCCGATAATGATGATAATGATGATGATTGTGATGGCGGAGGCGATATTTTGGAATCTGAGGCGGAAAAAGTACCGAGAAAAGCGCGGAGATGAGTGCTGCTGGGGACGAATAGGAGACGGATGTGCCGTGAGACGGCGGTTTGAAGCAGAGTTTTGCGCTGTAGAGGATGATTTGGAGATAGTAATGGTGTTTCTTCTTTGTTTCTGTCGCTATTCTCGGCTGCTGTTTGTGCTTGGAGGTAGAGCTGCAGGTTGACGTCCTCGGCGAGGGCTTCGACGAATGTGTGCTTGGGCCATCCGATGAGGATTGTGGTTGGGTGTCTGTGATGGGTGACGATGTATTGGAGGAGTTCGGATGGAGTAGATGGAGAGAGGACTATGGGATTGGAAGAAGAAGATGATGATGATGATGGCATGATGAGGATTTCGTAGATGTGGTTGTGGGTTGTGGAAAACATCAATCGGTGTCGTGTAAGTGAAGTGTGGTTTATGGCGACGGGGTACATGTAGCTTTCCCGAGATTTTCCCGTGGCGCGCTTCTCACCACCCTCGCCATCATTTACACAAACTCGATGGTTCATGTAATTTGGATAATCAATATGAATAAGAGCTTTTACATTGACTTACAGAAATTATAGCATTACTCATTATCTCTCACATTTACTTGATCACTCTGCCGAAATATACTCTGGAGAATACTATTACGAGCGTGTCTCAGCGCAGCAAACGCCGTTACTGGCTTAACCATCTCTACATCTGGCATGATGATACTCCAGTCCGTTACGGACGGGATTTGAGCTCTATGTAAGGGCATATACTGCAGTTTGCTCCAGAATAAGGATTTGAATATGCGTCATTGTGAGAGACTCGAACATGGTGGAACGCAAGCGGCTTGTCTATATACATGTAGTGACATGGGCTTTCAACGATACATCTGGCACTGTTTCTTAACTTTCTTGATTCAGCTAATGCTTATACTGATGACCAATGAGATGCCGACATGTGTAGCTATTCAATCTTAAGTCTCTCAATAGTCAATCACTGTAGTTATAGCGGACATACAAAAAGGATATCACATGCTTATTGACATAGCCTGTACGCATAAACATGTACCTATAAGATACGCATACTGGGGAACGTATAGCAGATTAGATATTGGCTCATATTATCTAGTTGAGATTTATTCATATACTCCATTTCTCTATATAACCAACCTAAGTCATAGGTAGTGAATACTGCCTCTGTAATATCCTTCACGAAGCCCCATATATATGTATATCTCATAACCATAGGAATAAGAACCCGTATGCTTTACTTTAGGCCCAAAGGCGGCCCGTAGCCGTTGTATTTCCTCTTCTTGTGTGTAAAGTGTACTATACAACTGAAAATATCCAATAGTCGTGATCTTCCGCGGTCGGTCGTTTCCTCCTCTTGTGTAAAAAGTGTACTATGTATCTGAAAATGTCCGATAGTGATTTCCCGCAGTCGGTCGCGGTCTTGAATCCATCTGCAAAATAGTCCTGCTACCAAGGGGTTTCCCAGCCGACCTTGAACCAAGCTGCATGTGCCTTGCGGTGCCCCTCTATAAAGCATTGATTGGAGATTATAATACAATCCAATCAACTGAGCACTCTCCCGGAAGCTCGAATCGGTCACCGGTCTTTGTCTGTGGCACTGCATGAAAGGTTCCTATAGAAGCCAGCTTTCGGGATCCCCTTGTTTCTTCACGTTCTTGCTCCACATCGCGGAGCACTATACCGCGGATCAACCCATGAGAGGACGGTACACCAAATCCAGGAGCATATTCCGCGATTTCGAGAAGGCTTGAGATACCGACAAGATATACCCCAAACTCTTCTGTTCGAGCCCATTTATATAGATCAGGCAGGTTCGTGAAGTTGGAACGTTTGTGATTGATAGAAATAGACAGTTTTCCGACGAAATTATTGATGTTCGTATTTGTTAGAGTGTTTGGAATGTTGCAGCTGAGAGGATCTCTTGTTATGGAGATTGCGTGACGTCTTGAAGCTAGCATACAAGCTCTTTTTATCACAACTCGGCCGAGTGTGTCAATTATCCATGAAGAAACCGAGTTGTGTGCTTGCATATTGCTTAGGCCGGGCGCTGGACTCCTCCGGTAACGTTGACCCGTCTTGCCAAATGGCATAAGAGAGCCGCATATGCAAGCCGAACTTGAAGCCGAATGGTCGCGTGCAGTGCCTTCGCCATCGAAACTGGTAAAAGGATTTATTGCCTTCATCCGACCGTCTTCATGTATGGACACATGTTTCATATAACTTGTGTAGAATTCGGTCGGAATCAAGCGTTTTACCTCGTTGATGAACTCTTTGCAGTACTTATTTAGAATCAAATCTGACTCTGGGTCGTACTGGCCGGCTACGACTCGATCGTACCACCGTGTGGCGCCAACAACTGACATTATGGCCTCTGATCTCGCTTCTTTGCAATACCGCTGGTCCCCAAGCCGAAGGATATCAACCCTTCGGAGGCTTAGGAGCTCGCCTAAGCCGGTCAACACCTCCCATCTGCGCAATTCGGATACTGCGTCAATCAAACATGGTTCCGTGATCCTCTCGCCAGAGAGGCTCTTTTTATATTTGCCAAAGATACATAGAACCCCATTTAAAGGTAACAGAGTATGTTCTTCCAAACAAAGAAACTTCCATTCAGATGTCGCCAGCCACATATCGGGTCTGAGACATAGTTCTTGTAGTGTCCACAGGGACGTGAACCAGAAGTTAACTGGTTGGCTCATTTCTTTGGCATGTCCCGTCTGTTGCTTGCTCCATAGCTTGAACTCTGGCCCTTTCAGGGTATCCTTTGGCTGTGAAAAGAGTCCTGTTGGCCCATCCCCCATGTGTGAAAGCGCTCGAGCCTTTCTCCACTCTCGTGTATGTTTAGTTGCTTCTCTCAATCCTTTGTTGACCCCAATCATTGACAAGGCGGCTATTTCTATGAGCCCTTCAAGGCAAGAAAAATCATCAATATCATGGAACCAGGCAATGGTGCGCCTGGTATTGCGGAAAATGGAGCCTTGCCGTGATATCTCCTGCTGTTTTAGGCTGCTATGTTCTTTGTCTAACATTTCACCCTTGCATCCCTGTGGTATGCAGACCAGATCTAGTCATACGTAATCGGCATCGATCTTGGTGCCAAGGTGCTGTAGGCTTTGCGGTAGGGATTTTATATCGAACATAGTATTCAGAGGTACACGATACTTCATACCGTTTGGTACGAAGCATCCATCATTTTCACTCATCCATCTGCCCCATGTATGGCTGATTGCAGTATAGGCAGGACTCTTTAGCCCCAAGTCCCGAGTTCGGACCAAGCGTCTGTCCTTTGCATGCCATAGATACTCGGGCCATCCGTCAAGGCCAAATGGATCTTCGTTCTTGTTATTGAGCCATGGGCATGCTGCAATACGAGGGCCACAGTCAATTGTTTGGGGGAAGTGTGGATCAGACGCTTCGACTGAACAAACCCAGGAATACTCGTGTGCAAATCCGGCCACATTTTTGCTTGGAAGCATGGGAATAAATGAGCCACGCAGAAAAGCAGAACCCCAGGGGTTTACTTTCGAGCAATGCACTGAGGCTTGCTGGTAATAGGCCTCCTTTGCCGCATGTATCCTATGGATTCGTAATGCGGATCGATTTTCATTGTCTTCATCAATACAGATATGAAAGTCGGAAAATTCGATCAAGAAAAGTTGATATAGGGCCTCATTGTAATCGGAATGTATAGGAACAATTGGACTAGATCGGAACCACTCCAGGTCATTCAGAGCACTATTTATAAGTCCAATTCTGTTTGAGAAAAACAGGTAAAGTAAGCATCAAGATTGGATTTCCGGATATGGTTATTGCAGGATTATTGACTCACTCTTTGTTTCTGCCCCATCCATCAAGACCTGTATCTCTGGGCCGCAAGCGGCTAAGTGTCACTGAATAATGCTTCTGTACGCAGATCCACAGCTCTTTGTATTCATCTTCATAGCGTTTGAAGCGTGGATTTTGATGAATTACAGACTCTAGCTGAGAACAGTAGAGGAGAGAGGTTGCGGGGCGATCGTAAGCTGCTGTCCACCAGTCAAAAAGCAGCCGGTATGAGTTTCGCTGCTCTTCTCCTAGAAGATCAACATAGCCATCAGAGACCAAATGCTGGAGACGGAACCAATGAGTCAATGATCGAATCCTCTGCACTATCCAAGATTCCACGGCTTCTGGCTTAGACGCCACTATCCAGTCTACAGAGACATAGCCATCTTCGACGAATGACATCAAGGATCGGGCTTTCGATTGTGTCTTGAGAGGTTCTAGATTCGAAGTTCTTTCGAAGATCCTTTGCGACATACTTAATATATGCCTAGGTACTTTGGTAAGGACTTAGACGCAAATGCCACACCAAGGATGGCAGGTGTACAGAAATCTCTACCAATAACATACCACACAACAGGGCAACAGGGGCTATGAAATGTTGCAATAGGTATAGTAGCTTAGAAGTTCTATAAATTTCGCTCGTATTAGGTGAAATCTGGTCAAAATATGTTCAATATGTTCCTTCGTATTAGCGATTCGTTGAAACAGGCTTTGTTCTTATGCCACGGACAAGTCGTATACGCAGGTAACGAGCGGAGAGAGTAGAAGGGCCTTGGATCGTATGTCTTTGCTAGCCAAGAAAAAATCGAAAACAAAAAATGAGATAGCCATTTGGAAGAAACCTAGCTCTTATAATCGCCGCTTTACTAAATATTTTGAACATCCTTTGAACAGGTTTTGAACAGGTTTTGAACAGGTTTTATACATGAACATGCAACCATCTCGTTTCTAGACTGCTTTTCAGAACGACAGCTTCGTTTGCTATACAGTACGATAAGTCAGGCTGGATAGCTATTGAACATAATCTGGCTCATGATTCATCGCCGACGCAAACAAATATATATATGGGTGTGTGTATATATATCTTCCATTTACACTAGGGTATGTACATTATTCTTTTGGTTATATCTGCGGTGGCCCTAATCACAATCTTTCTAGCTACCAATTAAGGATGGCTGCTTCTACGTGCATGTCCCGGAATATCAAAAACCTAGGATGACAACCCGTGGATAATTCTTCTTCTCTAACATCTTTGCTATTAGTATATCTTCCTCTAGCAGATTCTAAGCCATCTAATAATAGCCAAAGTCCTTGTCAGAGATGTTGTTACCATTTGCGCCGTTAGAAAGAGGGTATGAAAAAGCCCTCTTGCACCGCGACCTCAAGTATGTACATATGTTTTACGTCGTCAGGGTAGCGGGTAGTCCCAAGTTCAATCGATGTATTTAATCGATGTGTCCACGAGAAGAACAACTGCGAAGGTGGAAAACCTAGCCTTTTTACGGACTATGACCACAGATCCATTTGTCGGCAATTGGAAATGGGTGTTGCGCCTAAATATGGCAGGTTCATCGCTTTCTGTGCTTGGAGAACTCATTGCTGATATTCTTTTAAGATCAGATGCGACATCTACAGGTTCTCGGACGCACTTCTTTACGAGCATAAAAAGACCAAGATAGGAAACAGAATGCAAAAGAGAAGTTTAATGGAAAAGGAACATCTCGGGACGATAGATCTCCGATTGATTCTACCCCGAAGGTATCCCGCATTCGCGCTCAGGAGACCCTTTCTTCTGAAATCAAACGTGATTTTACAAGTTCTCCCCATACCTTCTCTTCTATACTATGTACGATTGCTGTAGGTTTCACTTCTAAATTTTTTTCATCCCCTCTCTAATTCGCTTTTAGCTACACTTGAGAGTTGAAGATATTGTTAATATACCAGCTACAGAATGTCTTTGTTTTCGGGACAGTATCTTACAAGCAAAACACAATTTTGTAAATGGAATTAGAGGAAGATGACATTGAGATAGATAGAAGTGTTTAGCTATTATTTCTTTTTCTTTTATTTCTTTATTTTTTTTTTTTTTTTGGTTTCCCGCATGCTTGTGTTCCAAAGATGACAGCCTAGCAATATTTGCTTACTTTCAATGATAACAAGATGAACGAGTTCATTATTCTACATTCTCAAATACGTAATGTGTTTTTATTTTACAACAGCCAAGATATAATCCATTTTTATGTTAGCTACACACTGGTTGGAAGAGCGCGTTATAGCTTCTTTCGTAAATGGAATATCCAGTTATGCACCGCATTGTATGGTGCTAAGCTGTTCTAAATATAAAAGTTCTGTTGCCCAGCGAGTTACACAGCCCACTAATTTTAAAACAGGAAGAATATTTTACGATTCATGTAGGAGGGGGCCCAAAGAGAATATGGGTAAGTTACTGGGGCTGCACAGTATGTTGCATCTGACTTTTTGGTACATGTTTTCCGTGCCTTACACAGAGACGCAGCTGAACAGTTGGCTGTTGAGTCTATGACCACATCACATGGGCCGCATGCGTATTAACTTGATGTCTCCCCCATGTATCCTGTGCATTGAGCAAGTTTACTCCGCCGCTTTATCTATCCGGGTGCCCAACCAGCCCAAACATTGTGTAACTTGTTACTTGTTTGTTTTCTTGTAAACGCTAATCTACTTAAATGAAGCCATAACTAGGCAAAAGGGCGATAGAAACTGCTGGTTCAGATCCGGCGTTTGCTACATTTCAAATGAACAAAGGGAGTTTTATGGGATGTTACTTTAAATCTTGGGAGAAGCGGAGCCGTAAGGGCTGGTGCTCTTCGCTGAATTTGAAAGTCTTTGTTGCCTCTAGGTCCTAGAAGATAGGGCCACTGTGTGACTTTGAGGTGGAGCTGGATAGTTACATGTACATATCCGTTACGTAGCTGGCAATGAATAGGTACTAAGGCATTGCTTCTTATGCATGATTCCTTCGTCCTGCCTACAACCTGGATTAAAGGCGCCGGCGACCTCAACAACTTATAAATTACATGCAGCTTCGCGTTCATTTATATGACCTGGTCCCATCGCTGTGTGACCGTATCTACTAAACCTTCTCTTGCCCCATTTCTCTGCAGCCATCGCAATACAATAACTCGACACGGCAGTTATTGCATTCAAATACAACCATGGAACGCTCACCAGCCAATATCTGGGGTTTATTCCATCCCCAAACCATTCTCTCGCTTGCAAACTCGCCGCTTTTCTCACTTTCTGGCTCGCAATATGCCATCAAAATGGCCGATTCTGATACGGGAGTCTTTGGCGCTGTCGGTGCTGTCCTCGGATATGTCGGTGCGGAGGCAGCTACCGGTCAAATCTTTGAGCGCCTACTATGGCCCCAACGGTCCTATGCGAATGCTACACTGAAATTGATCCCTATGCTGGCCGTTTTGATGCCCATAGGCGGGCCGCTACACATCATAGCGCTCAAGGCCCTCGATGTCATATTCGCTCATGGCTTATTCAGGGGGGCACGAGTCGGCCACATGCTTGGAACTGCTTTCTATCCAGATCAAGACTGGACTTACACCAGCTGGACGAGCAATGGCCAAAAGATCGAGACGGAGCCAGTGCACAATTGTCTCTGGGTTCGCGCGCTGAGCTACGTTCCGATTCCCATACTCAGCTCCGATACGCAACAGGCAACCGATCAGACCCCTGAGAAGATCGATCCCAGGCCAGACGAGATTCGGGCCAAGGTGACCGTCAGTTATCTGACTTTGACCAGAGCCACAAAGCAAGACGTAGAGTCTAAGATGCCATTTGTTGAAGCAGACGTTGGACGGCCAGCGTTCCAAACCTTTCTAGCAATCTTTGCAACAGAATCATCCGCTATACTTGCAGCTATTGGCATAGCGGTCTATTACAAGTCGCTATGGGCGCTATGGTGGCTCGCTCCCCTGCTTCTTCGCCTTATCAGTGCCTTGTTTGCAGTAGACCGGAAGCCTCTTGAACCTCTAGAGCTCGCATCTCTCAACGAAGACATTTGGGATTATGAGATTCACTGTCCTTAGTATGAAGACAACTTTATGCTTCTCACAGGCACCAAGTCTGTCGTCCAACAGTTTTTCGTCCATTATGGACACCCAGAGCGGAATCGGTTTCGAGAAGCAGTACAGATCGTAATGGTGGTTCTCTTTGGCTTGCTCTTCCCTCTGGGTTTGTTCTTCTCGGTCATTTGGATGCCCATTGCAGTCCAGAAAATTTGGGTGTGCTATCAGTTCTACTCCGCCCTTGCTATGATTACCTTACGTTACACCCATGGCTGCAGTAGCACATCGACAGAGGCCATGATTACAGAGCACTTCAAAAAGCAACAAGAGAGCGTGCCCATTACCGACAGCGGGAAGCAGGAAACGGCCATCCTCTTTGGCGTCACTCGAGATGGCAGCGAGACCATTAAAGCCAGCCTTGTCCCAACCTATCATAATCGCTTCTTGGATGGACAAGCATGCATGGATAACCTTTTGCGGCGCAACTTGCATACTAGCTTATGGAACCTTGATGATATGAGCCGAGACAACAGATGCCTCAATGTACAGCACCCAATGCAGATTGAAGAGAAAGCAAAATGACTTGGTCGAGAGAACACAAGTAAGCTGTGACAAAGTGCCGGGTACATGTATTGTTATCAATGTATATGTATCTTGGGCCATAGATATTTAACATCGTTGATTGTCTAAACTTGATATTAGTATTTTGTTTCACGTAGATAGGATGTTGAACTCAAATGGGTTGTCCTTGGTTCTTGATCGAGCCAACCAAAATAGATCCGGAACACAGACAGAATCTTGGGCTGAGAAGGAAAACAAATAGCAATCCATATACTCTAATATCCTAGCTAGTTTGCAAAGGAAATAATTCGCCATCTCATCAGCTCAAATGAACTGCCGTCTTGGCTTGTATGGCTTGTAGCTGCACGATAACCGCTGTTAGTGGGCTGGCCGCGCTAAACCCCAGCTGGCCCCTTCTGTAGATCCAGCGCCAACCACGTCATCTCGACCATCCTCCCAGCTGCATAAGCAGGCAATCCTCACAACTGCTGCTTCTTCCCGCCAACCCCACGCCATCAACCACGAGACTCATCCGTCAACAAGAGCTGGCAAGGGCCATTCCACCTCCGTCTTCGGCCTGATCAGGCACCATGGAGTCAATATCGAGAATCTCTGGCCTGCTGGAGGCTGGTGAGTTGCAAGCCCCGCGCCGATTGCGATTTGATTTGATTTGATTCGATTCGATTGTATCAAGCAGCTGACCGAAATGTACCCAACTTGCAGCCAGAGAGCTCACGCTCGATGCTGCCCAGGCCACGCGCGGCATCCGAACGAGCTCCAAGCCGCTGGATCGCAACCAGATGCGCAAGCTGCTCGACAGCCGCAACGAGAGAGAGGTGCTGGAGGGACTGCGGCGTGTCATTGCGGTAGGTTTCGTTCGCCATCTCATACTTAATACTACCTTTGGACTGTGACTGACGAGCCGGTGCTGCTGCAGATGATGTACCGGAACCACAAGACTCTGCCCTTCTTCTCCTCCGTCGTCAAAAACGTCGCCTCGCCGAATCTCGAAATCAAGAAGCTCGTCTACATCTACCTCATCCGCCATGCCGAACAGGAGCCCGACCTTGCTCTGCTTTCCATCAACACAATCCAAAAATCGCTCTCGGATACGAATCCCCAGGTCCGAGCCCTCGCCCTCAAGACCATGTCAGGCATTCGCGTGCCCGTCATCAGCCAGATTGTGTCGCTTGCCATCAAGAAGGGCGTCGCCGACATGAGTCCTCTGGTGCGCAAAGCCGCGGCTCTTTCGATCCCGAAATGCTACCGGCTGGATCCAAGCCAGTCCCCTCAGCTGCTGGAATACCTGGCGACGCTACTAGGCGACAAGCAATACTACGTTGCTGGTGCCGCGGTGTCGGCCTTTTTAGAAGTTTGCCCTGAGAGGATCGATCTGATACACAAGCATTACCGTGGACTGGTCAAAAAGATTGTTGATATGGATGAGTGGAGCCAGTTAGCAACTCTGAAACTGATGACCTATTATGCACGAAAGTGCTTCCCTCGACGAGCTCAGCCGGCTGCCGCATCCGATACTACCCAGTCCCAGACGCAAAATAGCAATATCGACGACTTTTACGCGGAATCAACTCCATCTAAACCTTCTGCTCAGCCGACATCACTCGATCCTGATCTGGCTTTGTTGTTGAACGGTATCAGGCCTCTGCTGCAGAGTCGAAACTCGGGCGTTGTTGTTGCTGTCACAAGGTGTTATGTCGATGTTGGAACTCTTGATTATTTAAAGTACGCCATTGGCCCACTAGTTGCCCTCTTGAGAGGGGCTCAAGACATACAACAAATCGCCTTATACAACATTGTTTCGGTCTGTCTCGTGCGCCCACTTGATTTTGTCAAGTATGCGAGCCACTTCTTAGTTAGAGCGACAGACAGTGCTCCGATTTGGGAGCTGAAGCTGGAGGTGCTGACGCTCATTTTCCCGCATAGCCCAGTTCATGTCAAGAGCCTCATTCTAAAGGAACTGGAGCATTTCTCTCAGGGGTCCAACAAAGCTCTTGTGCGCGAAGCGGTTCGAGCTATTGGCCGATGTGCGCAAGGCGACGCTGCTACAGCTCCCAGGTGTTTAAAGCTACTCCTGAGTCAGATCACAAGCTTGGATGGAACGTTGGCCGCAGAATCTCTGACAGTCATTCGGCACTTGATTCAACAGGATGCAGAGGCACACGCAGGGACTGTAGTGCGCCTAGCGAAGAATCTTGACTCAGCGACTGACCCTCAAGCGAGAGCAACAATCATCTGGCTAGTTGGCGAGTTTTCCGGCCTAAACGGGGAAGACAATATTGCCCCAGACGTCTTTCGCATTCTACTCAAAGATTTTTCGAGTGAATCCGAGGCTGCAAAGCGCCAGATATTGCTACTGGGCGCAAAAGTCTACCTTCATCATTTGAATCGTAAGAGCGAGGCAGAAAAGAACAGAGTGGGAGAGGATGATCCTCCTATGGAGGAAGAGAAGCATCCCATTGAAAGGTTATGGGATTATGTCCTGCTTCTTGTCCGATATGATGTCTCCTTTGACCTAAGAGACCGAGCACGCATGTATCGTGCCTTACTCGCTGTGCCACAGCTCGCTACACTGATGCTCCTCGCACCAAAGCCGGCTCCCCAAGCTCCGAGCCCTTCTGAGTCGAGAAAAGGATTCTTACTGGGCTCTTCGACTCTTGTCTTAGCTGGGGGTGGCGGTCTGCACGGTCTTAGGGGTTACGAAGCTCTTCCTAACTGGGTTGAGCCTGGCAAAGAGCCCGACCCCCGTCTGCGTGAGGCTGAAAAGGATGCTGCAGCGTCACGCTATGATAGTGACAGGCCTGCAGCTGCGGCAGCTGATAAGCTGGATGAGGTTGTCCGGTCAGCGCCTGCTGGCAGGTCGAATGGGCTTGGAGAGAGTCTCAGGACTAAGACACTGGATGATTGGCTAGCCGAGGAAGAAGGGGAGGAGGAGGAGGAGGAGGAGGAAGAGGAAGAAGAAGAAGAAAGTGAAGAGGAAGAAAGTGAAGAAGAAGAGGACGATGAGGAGGAAGATGAAGAGGAAGAAGAGGAAGACGATAGCGATGATGATGGGGAGACGGATAGATTAGTCAAGCCATGATGACGAAATTAAACTAGACACATGTTCGAATAGAAGACGTGTGGTTGTCTTGTATAAAATAGGGTGGTTTCTCATTCTTGATTGTTACAATGAGCAAATTCGTGTACATTACAAGTATAAAGAGTGAAAGAATTCTGTCTACTAAAAGGGGAATCTATGATGTATCTTGCTCAGCGCATAAAATCCGTATTTTGAGTCAATGAAATCCTCATGACAGATGTTGTTTGAGCCAGAGTGAGATAATAAAAATAAAAATAAACGCCAAATCTAAAACCAAGATGCAAGTAATGCAGAGCAATTTCTGAAAAAGACGTCCCGAAAATGAACATCATTTCCATCCATCCATCCATCATCATCATTCTAACTTCTTTTCTTCAAAAAAAAAAAAAAAAAAAAAAAAAAAAAAAAAAAAANTTCAAAAAAAAAAAAAAAAAAAAAAAAAAAAAAAAGACATGATAAAAAGTAGGTTTACGCAGCCACTTTGATGCCCTCAGAGGATGACAAGCCGTTCTCCAGCTTAATCTCCTCGGTAGGTCGCATGGACTTTTGGCGGTCTCGGCGCATGTGCGGGAAGTAAATGCCAGGGTGGAAGAAGACGAGCAGAAAAGTGGCGACGAAGATGAGGCTGCTGTCGAGGACGAGGAAGCTAGGTTGGTCTTGCATGATTTTGTTGCCCCAGCCGCCGGCCATTTCAGCGATACTGTGAGTAGATGTACGTTAGTTTTCTATTCTGAAGGATACATGTATGATGACAAGAATGAGAGGAATATGCATACCGGTAGATGCATCGGATCAAGATGACAAAGTAAGAAATAGAGATGGCATAACGGAATTTCTTAAAGTTGCCATCGTGCCAAAGCTTCCATCCATCCGTGTTCTGGGCCTCCGGGAATGTCATGTACTTCCTCACTCGAACATAGTAATCCGTGCTGAGGATTCCAAAGGCGATGAGCACGACGACCTGCAGCGCAACACCAGCAATGATGGCACGGTTTCCGGACTCGGTCAGCTTAGGATTGGTGTCGCCGCCAGCAGCTGCGATACCTCCACCGATAGCCTGGACAATGAGGCAGCTCAAGTCGGCAGGGAGGAAGATGATGGGATACCAGCGGGGCTTGATGCGAGAGACGGAGGGGTTGAGGTTGATGGCGACATGCTTGAGGGTGAGATAGATGGAGACACAGATGAAGGTTGGTGCCAGGATGATGGCGCAGATCTGCAGTTGGAAAGCGCCGCTATTCCAGGGGTTGGAGTTGAGCTGGATGCGACCAATGTAGCCTATTTGGAGTATGTAAGCAAGAGTAAAACTAATATCATACTTGTATATATATATATGTGTGTGTGTGTGTGTGTGTGTGTGTAAGAAAAGATGAAAGAGACATGAAAGGGTGAAATGATAATGTTGTGTGATCAGAGATAATCACGTACCAAGCATTTCCAATAGCAACCCGATGGACAGGCCAATGGCATATGTATATGTCTTCTTCCATACTCCCAGACCAACGGAACCGACTGTCAAGATGCCAAAGACAATGGCGAAAAAGATGCCCGATCCCAGATTAGGATAATATCCCAGGACTGTGGCGCTGACCGGGCACAGCGCCGAGACCTCTGTGCACTCGTTTCGCGCCATTGTGTGCGAGTCGATATAACTCTATGGAGGCTCTTTTGACGACAAGGTGGATGCTGCTTCCAGATCGAGTAATCGGATTAGTAACCCTCTTTTTTCTTTTTTCTTCTTCTCCTGCTGCCTGCTTTTCCCCTATGATGGGCCTTCTTTGTCGTCGGGTTTCGGAGTCCGGAAGCTTCGGTCCCTTTAAGGCGTTTCCTGTTATGAACTGGTGAAGATCTGGAGAAGTCGACAACAGTCGAAATATCGAAAACAAACAACCAGTGACTTCCACCAAAGGAGCTTTTGTAAAGCAAATGGAAATGAAGGAAAAGAAAAGGTTGAGCACGCGGGAATGGGCTGAATCTAATATGTACGGAATATGCACCCGCGCGCCTTATTATACATGGGGTTCAGGCCAAACCCGAACTCCCAATGAGCGGCTCCATCCATTCCAAAACAGCTAAAAGGGCAGAGGGATTTCGTATGCAACCCTCCAATCCTTGCCCTGCCGCATCGCCAGCCAATTAAGCTCCTTGGGTCGCGCTAGAAGATAGCGTATAGAAACAAATCTAATTCGTCCGGATGGTCCCCTTTCCGGACCAACCTTTGGGCAACTCGTTCTTTTTCTTCGGTCTCTCATTATGACTGTAGGAACTGAACCCACATGGCAGCGTTTCTTTTGTCCGACGGGGGGTTTGCTGCTTCACCGGCAGGGCTGCACAAAGCTTAAACAGAGCTGCCTGATCTGCTGGGCCGCAGTTGTTTCCATTCTCGGTGTAGAGCCTCGTGTCGTGTCGTATCGTATCATATCAAGCCGTCATACACCAAAGAAGGCTTGATTCATCACTGCTACCCCGGGTGCTTCGCCTCACAGACTCCGACATCGTTCAGCTTCCCCAGAACGCTCGAGCATCTTATGGCGCAACGTCCGAATAGCCATTGTGGGTGACGATCGCGGAGGTGAACAATAACGCAAAACGCCTGTGCGTGCCTGTCAGCATCTTCACCACGGATCACCAAGCGGGACGCAAGCCAAAAGCCACGAGCCTCTTTCTGGCCAACCCGTGCGCCGAAGCTACTACGTACATAGCATACACACTAAACGGAAGACGCCACCCGTTGGTAGCGAAGAGGGAAAATTCTCCACACGAGGCAAAACCGCTATACGCGTGTGGAGGTTAAAAACGGCCGCCCTGCAAGAAGTAAGCAATCGTCGATGACTAGCAAAAAAGCTGCAAATGCAAATGTGCTTGGCTGAAGAAGGCGGCAAGTCCGCAGGGTTTCGGGTTCGGGCGAATTCTAGAGTCCACCTGTAAGGAGGCACTGCCAAGGGGTGACTAAGCAGATGATGAATGCTGTAATCAAATACTTAATTTTGGAAAACACAAAAGGATGGAATCTTTTGCTGACTAGGAAATTTGATCTGATTTTCAGCTTAGCTGCCGGTAATAATGCTACACATCATCGGCGTTCCGTTTCAAGCATGCACATAAGCCTATATAGCTCCAACAATGCAGGCTGCGTACTTTGTTTGCATGTGTGAATCTCGATCTGGCTAGGATCTGCGATTTTGGCAGTCCAGCAGGTTGCATGAATCCCACGCTGGCGAGGGTGTGTCCATGCTGTCTCTCTCATCTCCGAGCAGATCATGCACCCGAGAGATAAGGCCAGCTTGACGCGGGCTTGAACAATGCCTTTGTTGAGCCACGACGCAGCTTCATGTTAGTCCGTGCAATCGCGCATCCGCCGCTACGTATGACTCTAAATTAAATTTGCATTAATTCGTTACTATTCGTTCTTTTAACTCTACTCTTCCTTGCCTCCCATATATCTATAAACAACTGAAAAATCTCGGTCCTTGCAGTCCTCACGCTGCGCCGCCTTATCGTACATGCCAAAGCCCACCGTTCCCAGCTCTGTCTTGGCCTGAGCTGCCTCAGCAGCCACCAGCGCCAATCGAAGATCCTTTCTCATCAATGATATGCCAAATCCACCGCGATAGTCACGGCTAGCGGGGGCAGTCTCGACAACACCCTTTACAGGGTTGTTGATCTCACTCGGCCAGCATCTGCCCGTGCTCACGTTGAGCACATTGGCGAGAACTTTGGGATCCAGGCCGCATCGAATTCCCAGGTTCATCGCCTCTGCGGTGGCAATGTTGTTGAGGGCCAGGAGATAGTTGTTGGCAAGCTTGGCCGACAGACCGGCGCCTTGGTCACCGCAGTGCAGCACCTTCTTGCCCATGAGGAATAGCGTAGGTTCTACGCGAGGCAAGATGCTGGACTCAGCACCCAGCATAAACGTCAGTGTACCGGCCGTGGCGCCGACAACGCCTCCGGACATGGGTGCGTCCACAAACGTGCCCTGTCCAGCATCTGTGACGGTTTGGGCCACTTGCCGCGATGTTGTCGGGTCAATTGTGGAGCAGTCGATGAAGATGCGATCTTTCTTGGGGAGGGAGCTCGTCAGGATGGAATCGTAGACGCCTCGTACGTGCTGAGGCTCTGGCAGGCAGGTGATGACTGTGTCCTATTATTGGCTCTCATGTCAGCGAAAGTCCACGGAACAGGAAACTTATAAGCACGGAGGGCATAATAATCAACAATGGTGAGCAGTGACATTTTCCACGATCAATCGCTTATATGCCATGTTGTGGTAGCCAAGCGCTGTATTGCGGCAGTCAAGGAGCCGACAGAAGCCGTGCAAGCGTTCAACCTCTGTCGACCATTACAGGATACGGCACAAAATACGACAGCAAACCATAAAAAAGCGATTGGTGATGGCTTACAGCTTCTTTAGACGCATCATGCGCACTGGCCGCCACCTCAACAGCAGCGCCCGAAGACGCAGCCTTCATCTCTGCCGAAAGGCCCTCCAACGCCGTCGTGTTGACGTCAAAGATGGCAACTTTGTCTGACGGTTTGAGCTTGGACTGTAAGTTCTTGGCCATTTGGTAGCCCTATCGGAAGACATTTGTCAGTATAATGGTATGCAGAAGCTAGTTTTTCCAACCAGGCATCGCGAAAGACGCCATTGAAATCTCCAGAGTGAAGCTCACCATCTGGCCAAGACCAATAAAGGCATAGTTGTCAAGCCGCCTCGGCGTGCTCGCAAAGCCTCTCCGCTGCACCAGGCCTCCCAAACGTGTGACTGCGACTCTCATTCTGGGCAAATCTGAAGACAATGTTGCAACAAAAAAAGTAAGCAAGAGGAAAAGGGACCAAAACAAAATGAAAAAAAGAGCTGCCAGTATAAATGAGATCCCAGGGCCAAAGGCCGAGGGTAGCACATCCGAAGTAGGACGTGTGGGGGTGGATCATCTCCCCGCGAAAGCCGCACATTGCCGGTGCCAGCCATTCCGGGGATGCCAGTTCCGAGTACCTCGAATGGGTATGGGGAAGCTCTGCATGGCTGGGGTACACCCTTGTACTCTCCTTATGCACAACAGCACTAATTCAATACTGTTTCATTCCTTACATTACAAAGCTACCAAGTAGCTACCCTGTAAAAGCAGCATACGTGTATGAGAGTACATGTACGCTTCAAAACGAACACTCTTGGCCCTTGCATTCAGATATTTACCGAGTGCTTCTATGTATCAGCGGTGAGCAGAATAATTTCGCACAAGATACTAATTCAGCCCAGGTGTTACACACTGGGGTACCATGCTCAATCATCCTGCCCATCAATCGTAAAAACAATATATGCCGCAAAATGCTCATTGCTGCTCTCTGTACTCACCCGTCTGCTCTATATAAACAACAGACCATCAAGTCAATAAGCTTGACACTATAGCTCGCCATCTGAGTACTCATAAATCGCTACAATCCCTTCCCAAACCAGGCGAAGGCTGGTCAAATACCAATCATTCTTCCGAGCAAAAAGGTAACACAACACCACTACACCCCTTCCAAGCTCACATCATTCAAACATGCTTCTTTTAACGTGAGATTTCCATTTCGTCTTTTAATTCTGTATTACACCAGCCATTCCCTCTTTCAGATCATCCCCTCCCCCCTCCCTCTCTCACTACCTCTATCCCTCCCATAAACATCCCAGGTATTTCTCCTTCGCCATATATGTGAGCAACACAAAACAACCCTCATGAACGACAAAGACTCTGTCAGACTATAAGACAGAGACATATCCGTCATCAGATCCACACACACACGCACACACACACACGCTCTCTCTCACTTCTTCCGTTCGTTATACCATCAGCTCAGAAGCGAAATACCGTCAATCTTTCTTCTTTGTTTCCTTTCTGTTTCTTTGATTCTTTCTTTACTTTCAAACAAAAAGTAAAGAGATTTATAATCTCGCGACTTTGTCATACTCTGCCAATGATGGCAGAGGAAAAAAAAGCTTTCAACACAGGTCGAATTCCAACGAGAGTTGTAGAGAATAACGGTATGTCCAATGAAAGAAGATTCTCGCACAAGGCAAAACAGAAAATGATAAGGAGGTAAGGAAATATGTTTCGGCTTGGGGGAGGATTATTTCATCTCCCTATGGGTGTGAAAAAAGAGAAAAGAAAAGAAAAAGAAAAAAAAAAAAAAAGAAAAAAGATAATCACAGACAAATTAAAGGATGACAGGTTAAAAAAAAAAAAAGGGACAAAAAACGTTATAAAAAAAGCAAAACCGCGCCGTTCCAATCCTCATTCGGCCGCCATAAAGATCAAGTTATCGTTCTTTCAGAGTCAGATTTCACGGAACACAAAAACACATGGCCACATTTCATTCCGTCGTTTTATAGGAAGTTTGCAAGCCAAGGCACGAGCGCTCTGCAACAGAGTTAGTAAATGGCAAACAAGCCGGATAAGACATGGGATGGGAGGGACAAAAATGCATACCCAACTGCTACTGTGGCGCCAATACCAAACAGGGCCCTCTTCTGTATCCTGCCCTTGCGAACCTCAACCTCCGTCTTAATCTTCTTGGAACGGGGCGCGTCTCCAGCCTTGTCATCCCCTTCGGCAGCCTCGTCCTCTTCACCGGTGTCGGTAGCCTTCCGCTTGCTCTTTGACAGAGCCTTGGTCTGAGCAGCCGCTTCCTTAGCAGCTTCATCAGCCTTGGCCGCCAAGTCTTTATCTTCTTGCACCATCGCCTTGGCGGTGGCCATCATCTGTGCAATCTCCTCTGCGCTGGGGGGCTGGCCCGCTGTAAAGGGGAGCTGAGCAGAGGCATCTGTAATCTCGGCTTTGGCCTTGGGTTCTAAAGCTGGCTCAAATTCCGTCGACTTCAAAACAGGCTCCTCCACCTCTTCGACGACCTCGCTCGCGGCCACTTCTGGAATTGGTGTTGTCTCCACAGGCGTAGCCTTTTGTCTAGAGGCGCGCTTTCGCGGAGATGCAGTTGTGCGTCGGGTAGATGAGGTCTTTGTTGGGCTGGCCGACCGACGGCTACGACCGCTTCGTGTGGTCGGCGTGGGAGAAAGAACCTGCGCGGGCGCCTTGAGACGATCGAACTTGGGCGGCGCAGTAATAGTCTTGGGCGAGGCATCAGCGGGCTGGGTGGTGGAAATCTTGGCCGCGTCGAGCAGAGCCTGGATCCAGATGCCAATGTTGTACTCTTCCGCGAGGGTGAGAGCGGCTTCCGGAGGGATCCAGATGTTTCCAGCAGTCTCCTCGGGACTCGTAGTCGCCTGGGCCTTGATGTATTTACGCTCAGTCTCCTCCTCCGCGGCCGTTGCGTAGGGAAACGTGGCCTTGAACATGCCGGTGGCGGAGATGTATCCGTCAAAGCTGCGGCGCATCAGGAAGTAGCTGTTGGGGCTGGACTTGAAGATGCCCGACACAATGCCCTTGGGCAGCGGCGCGCGCAGATGGGCGTAGTCGAAGAAGCCCAGCGCGCCAGAGTCGGCCTCTTCGCTGCCGACCATCTTAGGAGTCAGCTTGGTCTGGCCGAGACGGCGGCGCGACACGAGCTCGGAATCTGCATGCTCCACGTTAGTCTTGAGCAACTTCTCGGGCGCATCGGCAGCCAGCGTGAGTCTACATACACGGAGGGACATCGTCGATGAGAAGCGGGTTGCGCTTCGCCGGTAATGATCTTCCTGCAGCGGGGGCCATTGTGAGATTTCCGCTTTGGGCGCTGCGAGCAAGGAAACAGATAAGCCTGATGTCGATTGTACGGCGCAATGCGTTCGAAACCAGAGGCAACTCCTTACAGGCCACTAGATTCAATGCAAGACAATTAAGCGCGCGGAAAGCTGCTGCAGGCTGATGGTCTGATGCGACGAGTATCTGTCAGTCTAACGAGCCCTAGCCATTGGATGGGTGATTCTTCACCGCTTATACGTTGAACTTGCTACTACCCCTATAATATCTCTTTTCTTTTTTTTTTTTTTTTTTTTTCCTTTGTTTTTTTTTTTTTTTTTTTTTTTTTTTACGTCGCGCAGGACGAGAGTTTCGCATACATGAAAAACGCAGCTAAGAGCGAGGACGATGCGCGCGGCGCGTCGGGTCAAAAAGGTCAATGCACCCAAGAAAAAATGAAGACAAGAGATGAAGTCGAGGACCGGGGAACCGCCGCGGCGACTGAAGCCTGATCAAGACGCAGGGCAACGCAGAGAGGCCAATGAGAGGGATCGAGCTGCTCGGGCCAGCAATGGAAAAGGGTGAAGAGAAAGATTCACTCGCGATGGTGGGTGAGACGGCCAGACGGCCGCTCAAATTGCCAGGTGCGCCTGATCTGGCCTGGGCCCGGGGTGCGTCTCCGCTGCTAAGGCATGTACATGGTACCACTTTTTGCTCGGCCGGGTACTTGGTAGGGGTCTCTGCGTGAGGGGCCCTCGCTGAGAACACGGTAGCGTCCAGCACAGGCGCATGCACTTGGGGTCGCTGCCCGCTCTGCGCTAAAGCCGTCACAGCACCACTAAGCAGGAGCCGCTAGAAGCCACTGCGCTGGTACTACGACGGATTGTTGGGAGTGAGTGAGTGCTAGCCGTCGGTTAGTGGCTTGGTGTGGATGGCCAAATGCGAGTACCGGGTGTTGTGTTTTGCACCTACTTTGTAAACATTGCAACGAGGCGTTCTTAGCAGCAAGCAGCCGCACTGCTAGGCGTAGCTGAGCTTCAGCTCTCTTGTTTTTCTCCGCGCATCACGGCACATCAGAGAGAGCCGCAGCAAGTACCGATGCTGCTAACAGGGCTCGATAACTCGGTACGTGCAATTTCGCCGGCGCAATAGTGTGCCCTTGGTGTACCGCGCTAGTGCCTGGCAATAACATCACTTGACAACCCCATCGTGGCCCGTTTCCAGGGTAATGCCATCGCCGGCTGGCCGCGCTGAAGCGTCTCCGAAGCCCAGCGCCTCAACCCCTGACGACGACCCCCCCTCGAAATTCCCTAGAGCTGTCGCGGAGCCGCTGCGGCCAATCAGCCGCCAGCCATCGCCGTCGACCCCACCTGCCGCCCGGCCTGCCCCTCCATTATGGCAGTGCCACTATCACCACTTGACCGACATGTTTTCTTCTCCTTTCGAAATCCCCATCAGCAGCTCCGTGTAGGATAGCATCTTTTCCCTCTCCGTTCCGTTTCTTTGCTTTCTCGTTGGCCGTTTCCGCCCAGGCTTCGCATTCCCAAGATGGCTTCCCACCACGACGATGATACCATGCCCGAGCAGACGGAGGGCTACAAGCTCTCCCAGCCCAAGCAGAGCTTAGCTGAGTACCACCAGATGGGTATGTTACGCTCTTCTTTTCCTTTGGTGTAGCTGCCTTGATGGCAGAGAAAGAAGCCGAGCGAGTTGGACAAGCTCAAAGAGCGTTTTGCTTTCTGGAGACAGTTCTGTTTGGTTGCTCGATTACAAGTCTGCGTGGACGCGGATGACTTTGTATGACGGAACATGCCTCAGACGCAGCATCTCCTGAATGCAGAATCCACCCTCATTGACTTGTTTGCTCTCAAACATCTCCACTGCCATTGTCGCCACTTGTACTTACTTTCATATTCAACAGATGCGGGAGACGAGTCCCTCCAGCGATACAAGCAGTCACTTGGCCTCGGTGGCGGCACCGACCTCTCCGACCCCAACGACCCCCGAGTCTGCATCATCCTCTCCCTGACCATGAACTCTCCCGGCCGCGACCCCGTCACCATCAACCTGTCCGCTCCCGGCAGCGAGAAGACACTCAAGGACAAGCCCTTCCAGATCAAGGAGGGCGCCAAGTTCACCATGAGCGCCGAGTTCAAGGTCCAGCACGAGATTCTCAGCGGTCTGCACTACGTCCAGGTCGTCAAGCGAAAGGGCATCAAGGTTTCCAAGGATTCGGAGATGATTGTTAGTCGAAACATACCCAAGCCTTGGAAAGTGGGCTTTGTTGAAACAGAGTGCTAACAAGCGAATGCAGGGAAGCTATGCCCCCAATACCGACAAGCAGACCACCTATGTCAAGAAGTGTATGTATCAGCCCATCTTAAGAGAAATAATTCGCGAGGAAATTATGCTTACAACATCCAACAGTCCAAGAGGAGGAGGCTCCTTCCGGAATGCTCGCCCGTGGCCACTACAACGCCGTCTCCAGCTTCGTTGACGACGATAAGAAGAAGCACCTCGAGTTTGAGTGGAGTTTCGATATCAGCAAGGACTGGTAAATTTTCTTGTTTATCAGCATTTCGAAAGCGTTTGAAAATGGGCATTTGTTGTTGTCGCCGTTTTCTTGTTTCTTTTTTGTGCATTCAATTTTACCCCTCCTACCTCCGCTATCTCACGAGATATGAAGACATCTGATCTATAAAAAAAAACACACTTTCACATACATCAAAATGCAGGATACCGAGGCTGCGGTCCCCTGGTGGAAAAAAAAAAGAGCATAGCATAAATTCTAAAGGCAATACATAACTTTGACATGAGACCGGTGGATGTCGCAACATCTGCCTTCATGTTCTAGCGTAGCACGCAATTCTATATACGATGACAAAAACTTTGTATGACTTGTTGCATGGTACAGTAATTGGTATATTTATTGGTGGTACATGTATTTGGCGGCAATTATGATGATGATTATGATAAATTAAGGCGATGACGGCTGTAAAAGATCCAACAACTTTCTCTTTCTGTTATAAGAAGTAGTCGGGTAGCGAATTTCCATCCGCGGCTTTCTCGAGCCCCTGCTGCATATCTTTATGCTGGTCATTCTCAGGAGCCGCAGCAAAGACATTGAAGAATCTCTCTCCCTGCGTATTGACCTCCAACACGCTGGCCATGTTGCCGCATCTGTAGCAGTAATTAGGGGCGCTCCAGACGGTACTCAGACGATCGTCGTAGAGCACCTGGTATCCTTCCTGGCAGAGCTGGTGGGCTCGAAGAATATGAGACATGTTGTTGACTGCCAGGAACTTCTTGACGACCTGTGCGCCAAAGGTATAGCCCGCGCCTCGCGGGGAGAGCGAGAATTCGTCTCGGTCGGGATCTGGGTCTGACCATACCAGATCAGCCATGGGACCCTCGTGGGGGATTTCTCTAAATCGGTCTATAATTTTAATTTGGTCGATGGAGTGAATTGAAGGGGAGAGACCTATTTATTTTGGTGTTAGCAATGATATACGACCTTTTCTCCTTTCTTCTCTAAGCTATTGGCGGGGTTGTGTTTCTGATGCCTACCTCCGTGTACGCAGAAGATCTGGTTATCGATGACGACGCTCAGCGTCAAAAAGTCAAACATGTCTGTGAAATAATGCCACACATTGGCATTGCCGTATTTGCGTGAGCATTCGGTGTAGAATCCATAGGACTGGGTGACGCCGCGCGATTCGTGGTTGCCGCGGATTAGGTGTACACGTTCGGGGTATCGTAATTTGAGGCAAACGAGCAGCGATATTGTCTCTACGCTGAACATGCCGCGATCGACGTAGTCGCCTGTTTCCCGTTTGTTAGCACAAATGTCCCGTTTCTCGATATGCAAAAGGGGTGTACGAACCTAGGAAAAGGTAGTTTGTGTCAGGGCAGTAGCCGCCGATTCTGAATATCTCAATGAGGTCGTAAAATTGGCCGTGGATATCGCCGACAACGGTGATTGGCGCCTTGACGTGCACCACATTGCTCTCGCGCATGAGAAGCTCCTTTGTCTTGGCACATACTGCCTCTATCACGGACTCGGCGAGCAGTTCTTTCTTATAGAGGCGCGCGATGCACTCGTCCAGGTCGACGGAGGCTATGAGGGGGGAGTCATGGCATGTCAGCACCCCTGCTGCTGCGAGATGGCCGGGAAGGAAAAAAAAAGAGAGTCGCCAGGGGACGTTTTTCTCACCTGGTAGAGACGGCATGGTGGTGGCAGACGTCTCGACACACAGACAGAACTCGCAGTAACTGTTTTTACGATAAGCGGATGGTCGCACCAGGCTGCACGTCGACTATACGGGACTCGAAGCTCATCCAGGTAATAGTCGGCGCCGTGCGATGGTGGTGTATGGAGGGGCAGTGGCCAGGTGCTGCACCAACATGATCGAGGGGGCAAAAACCGACGCGATCTCCAGATGCAAGGCTGCTGGGCCAGGGACGGGCGATCGCTTCGCGCAATGACGACGGCGACGGCGATGCGAATGTGGCCACAATGACGAGGTTTGGTTCGCAGCGAATGCGGCCTGGGCACTGGGCCAGGCCCTTCCTTTTAGCAGCCTTGCTGAGAAATTGCGGATTGGCAGCGCTTCCCGCCGCTAGCGCTGCCGATTTTACAGCGGTTGGTGCAGGCGGTACTTTGAGATGCGCGGGGGTTGCCATACAGATGCTTCGGTTTCTCGGTATCTTGGGCAATGAAGTGTACTGGGTGGGCTGCTGCATTCTGGACTGTGGCGCTCACTTGTCCTTGGCCGCTATAGCTGTAGGGGGGGAGGACATGCACCGTGAGACAGCTCATCATACTTTAATCCTTTTCTCAACAAGACTGCCCTTAGTATTGGCGGTTTATTTAGTTTTCTTTTTCCCAGCACTCTGCTCGGCAAAAGCATTTCTTCGTGTTTCTCGCCTAATCTAACACGACTCATCGCTGGTTGCCTGGCTTGGACGTCGCACCGCCCATGTTGTGCATTGCCCGTTGCCAATGCTCGAGTTACACTAAGCAACAGCCACAGGTTTCTAGCCGATACATAACGAAGATCCAAAGCTGAAAAGACTTGCTCTTCCTCTCTCCTTTGTGCTGCGCTTTGCCCGCTTGCCGCAGCTTTTGTATGGCTCAAATGCAAAACCTGAGCAAGGTTCTAGTTCATGTCTCTCTTGCGGCGCCAACAAGACGGCAAATGACCTATTTGGCGCTCTTTGCGTGCCGCCCAAACTGACTAATTGAGTTGGGTACTTATTCTGAGGCTTCTGCTGCTTGTTGGGAGTGGTACTGGCGCTGTTTTTAGCCACTGCGTTAAGCTTTACACCGCAAAGCCAAGCAAAGTAGGTACCAAATACTACGATTTCACGCTGCTGTTGTTACACCCATGCCCTGTTTTTTTCTCTTGAATAATCTTCTTTGTTTTTCACTCCGACCACTGCTTCAAAACAAACCACATTCGCCCTCTCTTATTGAATCCCATGCACGCTGCGGGACGCAAAGCTGAAGCATCCAGCCTCTCCTCTCCATTGCTACGTTTGATATAGCCGCGGCTAAATCTCGGAATTACCCAGCTCAAGCAGCTGCAAGACTGGTGGCCTGTGCGCAGCCTCACGTGGCGGCTGATCCAACGCGACTCACTCTCAATCCGTTTGCTTGTCTGCCAAACGGCTGGTTCAGCGGCTCTCGTCTCCAGGTTGATCATTCGGTATCCTCTTTTGTTTCTGCAGGAGCCTCGGACCATTGGCGTTGTGGATGAGACATCAATCAGTGCGTCTGGAAACGGCTTGGGGAGGGGGTTTTGTTTATAAAGGGGGTTCATGGCATCTGGGCCGTCTTATCCAATACAAGGTCATCCAGGTATGGTGCCTCACCTGCGCCTTGTGTGATGTGACGAGATTCTGATGTGCTTTGACGCTCAAGCGACGGAGAGTCGTTTCTCTTGTGTGAGTCCTTGACGAGGGATAAGTGAGAGCTCCTGTTTCCTTGGGTTCAACGTTCTCTTTTTGTCACCAACTATTATACAACCTCCTCCAGTCGTCGTTGCTGCCGTGGTCCATCAGAAGCGTCTACGGCCGACACCTTCCCTCACAGCCTGACCAATCCCCCCCATTTTGGGACTCGTCGCCCTTCAACGCCAAAGAAATGGCTGAGCCTGCGCAGGGCTATTCTGGGCCGGATGACTCGTCATGCTACAACTGCGGTGCTAGAGGCCACTGGGCCGTTGCTTGTCCGGAACCGACAAGAAAGACTCCTGCGTAAGCTCACTGCCCTCTGTTCTTGCTTCTCATCATCATCTAGTCTTGACATATTCCTCTGTTTAATTTCAATGACCATGTCTCTAACATACGTGAATTACAGTGGCCTTGCCAATGCTTGGAGAAACTCTCCAAACTCCCCTCAAGGCAATGTTCAACATTCCCAGAGAGGCCCCAAGAGGTCAAATAAGGGGCCCATCATCACAAAATATGCACCTCCCCCGCCACCTCCTCCGCTGCCTCATTCATCCATAGGACATGGTGCGCCGCCATACCCACCATCCACTGGGCCAGCATATCAGCAGCCGAGCCCTCAGTTTCAAAACTCTTATCCTCATCATCCACCTCCTATCCACTACTCAGCCGGCTATGGCCCTCCGACATATCCACCACCGCAGTACCCCCCGCCATCTTATGGTGCAGCTCCTGCTGCCCCTGTGGGATATCCAGCTCATCCTCCTGGGCCACCAGCACCAACACCGGCTCCATATCCTCCCTCCTATGGTTCGTATCCACCTGTTGGGCCAGCTGGCTCGCCTGGTTACCCGCCCCCGACTGCGTATCCTCCCTCTTATCCGCAGCCGTCATATGGACCGCCCCCTGTTCATTATCCTCCTCGTGGCGGGCCTGCACATCATCCTCCCCCGGCAGCAACACCTCCTAAACCACCACGTTCTTCTCATACACACTCTTCATTAAAAGAGCCCATAAATTCCTCTCTTCCACCCAAACCGCCCAAAAGCATCCATACGCAACATGAACCGCAACGCGACCATAGGAATAAGCGAAAACACGATCGCCAAAATCACAAGCATCGTGACAATAAACGCAAGGACCAAGGTCGGCGTCGCTCTCACCAGAAGATGCAAAACAAGGCCAATCACTCTGGCTCGGCTACTGGATCTTCACAAAAGGCACCGGCGCTCGTTAACATAGAGGGCTCTAGAGATGCTACATTCTCATCAGCGTCTGGCTTGGGGAAGAATGCTGGGTTTGAATCCGAAGTATCAACGACTACAGCCGAGAAGCTGTCGTCTAACAATAAAGAGGAGTCTCATCAGGATGACAATCAGTCTTACCAATCTCATGTTGGGGAGCCTGATGAAGATTCTCTGGTTGCCGGAGAGGTACGTACAATGGGCTACTTGAATTACGAGGAATTTGCCATCCTCTTGAAACGGAAGCTAACTATACCGAATTATAGGATTTCGAGAATCATTCTGGAGACGAATCCGAGAATCCGGCTCAGGGGCTTGTAACTAAGACTGGGGCGGTGTCAGCAGGAGATAATGGACGTCCTTCTCAAAACCCCCAAGACAGCGGATATGATAACGTCTCAACTCCAAGTAGTCATCATTCTGACAAGCCCCGTCTAAACGGTAAACATAAGCGCCTAGATGATGAGTCAGGAGATGAGCAGCGGCCAAAGAAGGCAAAGTCCTTGGGCTCACTGACGGATGGCCAGAATGGTACTAAAGAGGGCAGTCGCAAAGAAGCATATGATGATGCAAGACAAGCCCAGGGCGACAATAGTCCACCAGAGCAAGAAGAGGATGATCAAACCTTGCCTCCGCTAGAATCTCGGTCACGGTCACGGTCTCGCTCAAGGGAACAATATCAGAAACTAGGCTCCAAATCCAGGAATTCGTCGGTCTCTAGTCGATCTTCCGACTTGAATTCTCTCGAAGCTGAGCTTTTAGGGCGACCAGATAAAAGATCTTCTACAGAACCTAGTCCACGTCAACGGCGAGATAGTTTGACAATACCAAAGATGCAACGACGCCGCCAACAGAATGCAGATTCTGCATATAGGTAAGAACCAAAAATTGCTCCAACCATGGGTTAACATGACAAGAGTGCCTAACATGAATGTAGTCGCCGCTGGTGATGATCCACCCTGCCATTTATCCAATCGTCAATTGTAGCACATGAGCAACATATCTATTGGCTCTCTTATGACTGCTCATCCACTTTTCTAGCCTGATCTGGAGATTTCTCTTCTCAATTTCAATGACAACGACGGTTGCTTATTGTTTTTAGACACTCTTCGTACTTTTTGCAGAGGCGATACGCCGTACTTTCTTCCTTTGTCTTGCTCCTTTGTTTTTTCCAGATCGGCAGCGCAATGTGGGCTTTTTACCAGAATAGCTGCGATGAACTATCGCTGGCGTCTATTTCTTTTCGTTTCACGACTAGTAAGGCTACTTATTAGTTTGCATGGCTGGCGTTTTGTTAGAATCCACGAGGTATGCGTGAGTCATTATCGAATTTTCTTTTCTTTTCTTTTCTTTTCTTTTCTTTTTTTTTAGGCACAAACCTTCGGCCCTTTGTTCTGTAGAGTACCTGATCCTGGATATGGATATTTTGGCCTGTCTCGTTAAAATATAGAGAAGTGCAACAATTGCTAAAAAAAAAATGCTTGATACCTTGCCGATCCTTCTTCCGTGTTTCTGGTGTTTTTCATTTGTGCACCTTTTCTTGTGTATATCATTCACTGTCTGAATCAATCTCCTTGGTATTAGTATCATGGCAACGCAATCCCTTACTCTACTGAAGTTTAGAGTTGTGTTCGTAGATAGTGTGTAGAAATACAAATCTATACATAGCAAATGAAGGAAATTGAATACAGAGATGATGACAATTGACCCGCTGGATGTTCTATCAAACAATTTTGCATATCCACTCTAGGCCCAACTTTCGGCGAGATGTAAGCCGAGCAACAGCCAAGTCTCCCCTCAGCCGCCGACCAACGACATCGGATGACAGCTGAGAAAGAGGAAAGAAAGAGAAAATTTTGGTTGGGTAACACCATTAAAATATCTGCAGATCTCGTGATGCTGATGCAGGAGATGCCTCACTCATCACACCGATGCGTGCCTGGAGGATTAGCCGCCGCTATGGGGTAAATACATGTATGTACAGTGCTTACAGTAGTGCAGTAATAGCTGCATTGCAGCTGTCCATGCAGAAAGGCAAGCCAAGGGAGGCCCTTGAAAATGCTGCCACACGGGACACACAATGCTTGGCATTTATTGGTGAAAAGCCTTTTGCGGATGGCGGTTTGGAGCCAGTGATCGGCAGTTGAGCGCCGCTACTTTGGTCAAGGGTCGGTGGTTAGGTGCAGATGCGAGCTGGGGTCGAGCTTTAGGGGAGGATTCACTGGATACTGGCGCTAGAGGGTGCAGTAGCTCCCGCCTGGCGTTGCAGCACGCCGTTGCGTCCTTTGGGCTTCTAGGCAGATTCTGATAGGCTTTGGGGATCGCAGCGTTTCAGTGTGATGGGGATGCCTGAAGGGGCGGATTTGCTGGGCATTCTCTCTTTTTATAGCAAGAATACATGTACATGTAGATATGCATCTCGTGGGACAGTTTGGGTTAGTCTCTTTGAGCACGATACAGCCTATTGTGTACTGTTGGATTTCACGACTCATTGGACTCTGCTTGGCTGCCCATACAGTCAATTCACCAGTAGTATTCCATGTTTTTATAAGTCTCGATATAATTTGACCTAATTAGTAGCTATGTTGTCAAGTGCCTAAGCTATTACTGCTACTGCTATGGCTGGTTGTTGTACATACCTAGGACAGACGCTGCTATTAGAAAGAATCCAAATCAAAACCAAATGTCGCTTCAAATCAAGACAACTCGCTATTTGATGAGAAACATGCGCACAAAAAAGGAAGAAATAAAGAAAAATAATACATCTTCTGCCGGTAAAAAGCAGGTACAAAAGCGGAAAAGCGTGGCATTTGCCCCAGGCATGGGGAGAGACGCCCGGTATTACTCGGTACCTGAGGCAGACAGATGATGCACCGCCACGGCCTTCTGAAGAGCTTCAATTTTCATATCGCATCGGCTTCGACAATCACACGATAAGATAGTCAAAGCCTCGTTCCTTCAGGCCCTGCAGCCAGTTGGCGCCAATCTCGTCATTTGCCCCTTGGTTGTCTTGCAGCTCCCAGGCCGCTTTCAACAGCTCAATGGCCGTGAACAGATAGCCCCAAGGGCACGTTTCCCAGATGCCCAGCAGACGCTTCATCGCCCACGTGCGTCGCTCGGTATCTCGGGTCTCTGCTCCAGCGATAAAGGTAGGCCAAGATGTGGCCTTGTAATACGGATCATCCACACTAATCTGACCCAGATTGCCAAGAATGTCCTCAACAAGGAATTCGGTATCCACAGGACGGACGGCCCGCACCAATGGCAATGCCTGCAAGATGTACAGGCAAACGGCGGACCTGTGTGCAGAGGCGATGTGTATACGGCTTTCGATGTCCTGTACTTGGGGATTTTGCCGCAGTTTGTCTGCCCAAGCGGGTATATCAAAAGCAAGCGCCTCGTCAATAAGAGTGAGAGCCTCGTTCGCGGCGGACAATGACCAATCGGTAAAAGGGGTTTCGTAAGAAAGCTTGGATGCTGCCAGGACAATGCGAAGAATCTCTGGAGGGCACGAGAGGTAACTATTCACTTCGACGCGCTTCATGACCGGCAGCAATTCGAAAGCGTAACGTGCGATATTGGCCGCAAGACTGCCCGAGGCAAGTGTCGATCCTAATATGTGGTATCTGTGGGTTAGTGAAGCAAAACAGTGTCAGTCATCTGCGACACAAGAACCCGGGATGCAGCGATTTGGTCTGCCAGCATCATGGTGAGACCAGACAGCAATCACTCACATGAAACAATCAGCCACAACGCAGTCACGCAACATCCTATTGGCCTCGCTTCCACCAGCTCCCTGTGTGAGCAATGCCAGAATATTGCTTGCCCCCTCCAAGTGCGTCCTCCATCCCTTTGCATCATTCTTTTCCAGGTCGATCAAGTCAAATTTAATGAAGAAATGCATAGCGGCAAGAGCAACTTCACTCCCTCCAGGGTCCAAAGAGTCGAGCACCTCTTGCAGGTGGCCCATGGCCTTTTGCTTCGCCGTCAAGGCATCGATAAGTGCTTGCCTGGAAACCAGGTCTTTCGATCGCAGCTGGGCTAGATACCCCCCCGGATCAGTAAGGCCTGTGGGAATGGCAGTGATTGGGCGAAAGATGTTGGACCAGTGTATCGCTGAAGTGGCAACGAGAATCTGAAGCAGCAGAGGATGTCTGTTGGTTAATGGGATAAGGTCTCGAAAAGGGTTGACCCCTGGCCCGTCTCGGGCCACCAAGTCTTGACAGACGCGATCGGCAACTTGGGATGCATTAGCACAAAATCTCGCTCCAATTTTCGACCTACTAGCCTGTGTCGCCTTGGGGGACTGGAAGTCTCTTACAGTGAGCTAGATAGTATCGTGAGTTGCGATCGAGGTCCTGGAAGATTGGATCTGTCAAACTGCCAAGCGCTGCCGGCCTCCACTTCTGAAGTTCCAGCGGTGTTTCCTGGATTGGGCTCGAGGCTGCATCTTTTGTTGGCTCCGGTGTAGCCGACATCGCTGCGACGATTCTGTTGCGTTTAAGTAGCGGCGAGGGGCGGCGAATAACCGGGATAGATCTGCCTTCGCTGACAGGTGCATCATGTGCTGCTTGGTTGCTGGGATCAGCATCGGGGCGGCGGCCAGAGGTTGGATCCGGGAATAGTGGAAAGTAGCTGTTGGTGACTGATGATGAGACTTGTCCAGATCCTGAGCTGAGAGGTCCGCCAAGTGGCGTCCTGCGACTTGGTGATGGCTTCGGATTTCCATGAGCATCAATCGCCTCCGTCCAGATAAAGACCTTGCCGTATCCAAGGCACTCCTGCCCTGAGACCGCGCATTTGTGGCAGGTCGGCCACGAGCGATCGCAGCGCAGTCGTCGACGGCGGCAGTTGTGACACGGCTTGCTATTGCTTGGCATATATGCCGATAATGCGTGGTCCGGTGGCGGAAACTGTGGATGGTTTTCAAGCTGATAGTGAATACAGAGCCGTTATCCTGCCTCACTCACTCGCTCGCTCGCGTTTAGTCGGTCTAGCAGCGGTCTAGTGACGCGCAACCAGGCCAGCGTACGAGAGCAGCAGTGGTGGAGAGTCGTTCTCACTAGGCGGGCCTTGTTACGCCTTTGGTGGTATGAACATGGCGAGAGTCTCGGGCTTTCTCCAGAATACGATCTCCTTACGTTAGTAAGAACACACGCGCACGTGGGCGAAGGGGTAAAGTCAGCTCCGGCAAAGATGATGCCTGGAGAGCTCCATGATTCTGAGGCAATCTTTGGAAGCAGCGTGATGTGGCACGCCATCAATCCAGCCAGTCGCTATCCACCGGGCAAAGCATGCGGCCCACCATTATCACTAGTTATTTATGATGCTGGCCCCAGCACCATCTCCAAGCATTCCCCTCCTCTTACCAACCGAAGCTACTCCAAAGGCCACGCCGCCGCCCCCGAGCCTAGCAAAGGGTCGAAAGTAGACAAGCTTTCTCGTTGCGCACAAGCGCACCTAAACGGGAAAGCTCTTGACATTCTCTGCGTCCGATGCACGGCGACCGCTACGCGGGACCTGCAGGACTGGTAAGCATTCGAAGCCACCCTGGTCCTAGGTCCCGAAGCTTGTTCACCTGGTCTGCCGGATATTGTCCATCCAGAGGTCACACAAGTGCCCAATACGGAAATCCCTTTACCCTTGGTGCAGCGCCTCGATTTCGGATGCAGGATGGGATTGTGACATTTCATTGAGGAAACAAACATTGCTACTACCGAGCTTTAGGACTAATAATTAGTCTTCCCGCCGTTCAGCTGCTCAACTGAGGTAAGTATTACCCCCCCTAGCAGTCACTTGTCTTCGATCAACATATCACCCAGTTAACAAAATTCTCCGTATATACCCTGTAAACTTTGTTCACTCTTGTTATGACCGCCCAAGTACGGTAGCGATCTTCAGCGAATTGAATGAAATTGAAAAAAAGTAATGTAAAAAATTTTTTCTTCTTTTTTTCTGGGTCGGAAGAAGAAGCCGCCAAAAAAAGGATGCCCTGCCGGCGGCTCCTGAGTCCCGTATCCGTCCATGCCGCCAAAGCAGAATTACCCCTGCAAAATAGTCACGATGTCTTCACAAACTAGCTTCTACAGACCCATTTGGGCTGCTGCTACCGGGGTTAACAATAGCCCAACTCTTATCATCCCCACCGGCACTTAAATTGAATCGGTTCTGGAACGAGGTCCATGACACATCAAAATCTTTGCTCGACTCGATATTGAATGACACGACAATGCACAAGAGTCGTGAACATCGTGAGCTCCAGATGTATGGGTAGCTACTCTCCAACGCTCACTCGGCTTTCATCCCGGGCAGAATAGAGTGGACCCCTTGTCAGATCTGTAGTCCTATTATTGTATTGGACTTCCCCAAACGGGAAACCTCCAGACAACTTTTGCGTTTCTTACCGTTGTGGCTGGAGGGAGCGTGACGAGGTGTGAGAATTTGCAGGCTCATGAAAAGCAAAGCCTACGCGGACCGACAACGGAATGTTGTTAATGAGACTGTCCACACCGTGGCACTTGCCAGCAGATGACGATAGCGCATAGCTAAGGCGTATAATTTGGCAGAACATGATTCGGGGCGTGTAGATTCTCCTTCGTGGTGGCCCCGTGTCCGTAAGAAGGCGAGAAGACTATAAAAGAGGATGATGGCTCTTGGTTCAAAGCTCAAGACACAGGTATTACTGCCAGTAAGCGGATATCCTCTGCTAAGAGTGCTTGACAAGCTCTTGGCCTGCACTTCTTGAGTGTATCATACGCTTTTTTTTTTTTTTTTTTTTACCTGTCTATTCTCCTGCTTCATTGCAATGGCAGAAAAGGAGGTCAACAAGCCTGTCCAAGATGCCGTCGTCCTCGTTGCAGAGACGGACGACGAGCTTTCTCAAACTACTATCGACGTTGAGAAGCTAGGAAGACAGCGTCCTGAGGCGTTTTCTTCTACCTGGATGGAAATCGCCTTTGTCGTCTCCATCTTGGGCTCCCTTTCTATGGCGGTGGGTCATCTCTCATCAACAAATGCGGGCGAGACAGTCACATTCCTCAGTTCACGGGGAACTTGCACATGTCTTTTATCTTCTGCAGCCCTATACGAGAATTACATGGTGCTAATCAATGCCTCCTTCATCTAGGACTTTGTCATTAGCGGTTTCCAAGTCGTTCTGCCTAACTTGGTTGAGCCACTTGACATCCCTCTCGAGGCGCAAACATGGCCCTCGAGCGTCTTGACCCTGACGGCGGGTGCATTCCTGTTCCCCCTTGGCCGTCTGGCGGACATGTATGGAGGATACTTGCTTTTCAACGGAGGAGTAGCGTGGTTCGCGGTGTGGTCCATCATTGGTGGCTTCACTCGTAACTTCATCATGCTGGTCATTTGCCGCGCTATGCTGGGCATTGGCGCGGCGGCGTTCCTCCCTGCTGGTATTTCCCTGCTTGGTCGGATCTACAGGCCCGGGCCGAGGAAGAACATCGTGTTTAGTCTCTATGGCGCCATTGCTCCCTTGGGCTTCTTCGCAGGTATCATCGTTGGTGGCATGGCGCAGGACTTGCTCTCCTGGAGGTGGTTCTTCTGGCTGGGCGGCATTCTATCAGCCGTTTTCGGAGTGGGAACGATTTTGACAGCTCCCCGCGACTATGAAGAGGCACGGAAGATGAATGTCAAGATGGACTGGTGGGGAGTGTTTACGACTGTGCCTGGGTTGATGCTGCTTATTTACGCGCTGACCGACAGCGCCAATGCCCCTGGTGGATGGGCCTCTCCTCGAATCCTGGTTACACTTATCCTTGGTCTCATCTTTCTTGGTGCGGCCGTGTATGTTGAAGGCTGGGTTGCCGAATCACCACTTATTCCGGCAGATATCTTTCGCGTCAAGTGCATGAAGAGAATGTTGCTCTGCCTCTTTATTACATGGGGTGTGTTCAACATTTACCTCTTCTATGCCAACTTCTAGTGAGTTTTCTCTTGTTGCTGCTTCATAGATAAATAATTGTTACTAACAGATTATTACAGCATCGAGACAATTTTGAAGAAATCTCCACTGATAACTGCGGTTTACTTTGGCCCCTGGGCAGCAGGTGGCCTCGTTTTAGCCACTACAAGCGGTCTCATCCTCCACATGCTTTCCGGCAAAGTACTCATCATCGCCTCCGGCATCTCAAAGATTATTGCTGTGCTCATGTTTGCCATTATGCCTGATGATCCGAACTACTGGGCGTGGATCTTCCCGGCTATGCTTTGCGAGGCTGCCTGTGTCGACGTTTTGTGGACTGTGAGTAACGTCTTTCTGACGACTAGTCTGCCGAAGAGCCGTCAGGGTCTGGCCGGGGCGCTCATCAGCGTCATGCTCTTCCTCGGAGGAGCTTTCTTCTTGGCGATTGCCGATGTTGCCAAGGCGCAGTTTGTGTTGAACGGAATGGACCTCAAACACCAGTACAAAAGCGTCTTTTGGATCGGCGTGGGGCTTGCGGGATTGGCTCTTGTCATTTGCTTCTTTATGAATTTGGACAAGGCCGGTGGTGACCTTACGGTTGATGAGAAGGCGGTGCGGAAGATGAGCAATGCCTCTTCAGAGGTGTCGTCGGATGCGGAATCTGCTGTTGATGGCGCTCGAGTTGAGCCGATGACGGGCGTGGTTGTTGATTCATCTGAACAGAGTGGCAATGAAAAGAAAGAAAACAAGGATTCTGCCTAATGGATGGTGTTGTTTAGAAAAATTGACTTATAAAAGGTAGAGCATTTAGCCTGGATTTGATGGGAAGCGAGGCGTTTGGATATTTAAAATTGGGAGCGTTTTATATGAGTTGCATGGAAAGGATGTATTTTATTGTCACTAAGAGTACGAAATGTTCAAAAGGAAGTGACTTTTTAGTATGACTGTCTTTTTTGATAAATAACTGATGATCAATTGATTATATCGACTTACAGTAAACAAGACTGCGGCGTGAATAAAATATAATGAATTATCCAATATGCCTTCTAGGGTATTGGAGCCCGGGATTGATTTGAGAAGTTGCGAAAACTAGTGGAGAGTTCATGATACTAAATAGAACAGCGCTATGACATAATAGCTCTTCGCCCGCTTGGCTAAGCGGTATAGCGTGTCACTAGTAAATACTTGACATGACAAGGTGATCAGTTCGACTCTGATAGTGGGCATTTCTTTTTTCTATTCTATTCTTTTTTGTTTGCCTTTTCTTCTTAATGAAACATTAAAATTAACCATAATGGACTCTAATTTATAACCCAATTGTTCAACATTATTTAAGCTCTTTACATGCTGAGTGGTAATAAGAAAGCTTTCCGTCGCCCTTTGTGCTTGGGATCACAGTTCAGTCGATGCACCATATATTCTGGGCTTTGACTGATTCCCTGTCTTTGTCTAGAGAAAGTTCCGTCAAAACGCATTCAAATGTCACGACTAAACTGTAGCAAATACTGTACCCAGGCTAAATGTTAGTGGGCGGGCCTGCCGAATTTTGTAATGCCAGCAGTAATTACTACACTTCAACCTATCCGTCTTTCAAATGGTGCCAGCATTGGATTCTGATTTTGAATCGATTATCTGTCGGAAGCCTATACGGCTGAACAGGGATATTGTTATGCGTACTATATGTGAGCAACACTCACCTTTGGGGCATTTTCGAATCTTGAAATGATATCATCGATTACAATAGATTCAAAAATTAATTTTCGGGCAACCTTGAGTAGGGTAGCACCTCCTGTCGGCCGCTCCGTTGTGGACTGTAGAATATCAGACGCCTATTTCCTTTTAACTAATCTAGCCTAGCGGTGAGTATGGAGTATGAATATTTCTAATCATCTCTTCTACCAGAGACTCTCCTTTTAATCATCTAGCTGCACATATTGCAAGAGCTCCTTGGCATAGGCCGCTGCTACAGCAGCTGCATGTTCCTGCCATTGTTTATTCTTGTGTGAATCGGCATAGTCACAGATCCCTCGGATAACGACGCAGGGAAAATTGTTCATTAGTCCTGCTGCTTCCATTTCGACACAAAGAACCTGACCACCAAGATCCTTGTTAAGTTGATCCCTAAACATGGCATCCTTGATGACTTGATTGCCCGAAGCGATAAGACCGTAGTGCACGCGCGCATCCCTAGGCTTTCTTTTCACAATCTTCGACTTGTCACAGAGGTTACAACTACCTTGGTCGCCTTCCTCATCCTCGCCGTCTGCATAGTTCCCGTTGACATGATTGTAGTTTGCTTCGAACAATACATCTTTGAGTAAACCTGACCGTAGGTACTTTGGTGCTAATTTGGGCCATTTCACTCGCAATTGCTCGAGGTACTGAAACATTTGAGGCTCATTCATTTCATGGTATGTTTCCAGGTTCGCCAGGGCCGTAAGAAATGAAGTGGGTGGATTATTGAGAGCCCCTGTGCGCTCGAATGTGCTATTTTCTTTCGATTTTCCCATGTCCCATTGGACCACGCCGGGAAACTGTCCGATAGGAGTGCTCACCACCACATCCCCAAGCCTAACATTGGGAGGCATACCGCCGCCAATACCGACCATTAAGCTAAGTTTGATACGAGGGAAAGTGGAATTCATCCGAGTGGCAACGATCGCAGCGGAGTTGGTACCGGTCTGTCCTTTAGGTAGACAGGTAATGACAACATTGTGCCCGCTAATAGACCCAAGTGTGTAATGATTTGGGTCATTTCGAGGCGTCTGAAGATGGGGATGTACTTCGTCTAGCATAGCTATCGCTGCTGTTTGCTCTTTTGGCAGCGCGCAAACCCATCCTATGGTATATTTGTCTCGAGACTTGGCGGTGCTTCCAGAGTTTACGAGCTGACCCAGGAGGCTTTCCTCGTTGTCTCTACAATATCGGCCTTGGGCTACGCCGTTTCCAGAAATGGTTGCCTTCTCAAACCTAACAGGGTTAACATCTTCAATACCTTTTGGTTTCCAAGCCTTCTCAATAGTGACAGGATCAACATCTTCGATGTCTTTTTGCTTCCAGGCTTCTAAGATAAAGACACGGAGCGGAACCACGATCTGTTCATAGATCTTTTGCCGGACCTCTCGAGTGTCACCTTTCAGTATTGCCTTTGCCTTTCTGTTATCAATGCACATCTCAATAATCTCTTTGATCACTATCCATGCATTCTCTGGTGGCCATAGAAACTCATCCTCAAGAATAGCTGACGCTAGGCGATGCCGCGCAATGCTGGGGTCTTTCTCATAGATATCAGGAGTCTCGAAAGATTCAAGTTTGCGACCGAGCTGTATCTCGAGTAGCATTATACCGAGGGCAAGAAGCTTTGGATATTTATGGAATAATGTTGAATTACTGCTCAGTGTGACCGCTGGCTGTGATTTGTCAAGTTCCCCTCTTTTCACACTTCCTTTATTCGCTGTATTAAGGCCATTAATGGTTTCTTCTATCATTCTCTTGTCGAATTTGGCGTGAAGGAAAGGTTGGTTGACGTAAACGACCTCCGAGCTATCATTCAGTCTAGCTCGTTGCGACATGAATTGGACAGTCTCGGTGCTCCAGTTTTCCCAGCCGCAGTCGTAATATTGCCAAACAGATTCAACTAAGAGGTACGACAAAATTGCTTTGTTCCTATCTGTCAATTTGGAATAATGTAAGAGCTCGGCAAGAGGCGTGCTTGGAACGTTAGTTAAGAAGCGTCTTAATGGAAAGCACTTTTTTTTCAGCCTCAGCTCGCCCTTTGAATGGATCAATTGCACTTGGAGTTGACTCTCTCGAGCTTCCGTGATAATTTGGCAAAGTTTGAGCTCGTCTAAAAGCTCTAAGCTCTCAATAGTAGAGTAATATGAGCCATCAGCATCACTTTCCTCGGAAGGATCATCATATTCTATTGGCTTCTTATCATCTGAGTTCTCTTGAATAGTAACTCTTCTGAAGTTGGTATTAGCTATATTTAATACCAAAAGAAAAACATGGTAGAGAAGTCAGTACTTACGTTGTAGCCGTAGCAACACAAACAGATATTTCAATGTCTCGCCAATAGCAACTTGATTGAGAATTTTGAATAGAGTGGAGATCCTGAAACAACAAATTGAACTTGGAAATATTATCGGTTCGATGTGGCGATTTATCATTACAATTAAGACGGATGTTCGCAGCCATAAAATCGCACGCTGGCTCGCAGCGACATTGACAGTACTTCGCGAGCGATTTGTGCAGGCTATCAATAAAATCCTTCTTATCTTGGCATGTCTCAATTGTATTTCTTCGCTCCCGAAGCTCAGAACGGCCAGGCCCTCTTAGAGTAGATTCTGAATCTTGAATGCCGGCAGCATCTAAAGAAGCAGATAGTCGCGTCCAAAATTGTTTTGTCGCCTTTCGTTTGAAATCACTAAAGAATTTTCTCAGAGGCTCTCTGACATATTCTTTACTCGTCAACAGCATATTAAGGGAAGGATACCATGATGGTGAGAAGTCACCAGAATCTGTAGCCCCAACCTGGTAATATGAATTTGGCCACTATCATAAGGTTAGCATTGGTTGGATTCATAAATTTCCCGCTCTCTTAAAGCAAAGGAGAAAGGCGGTTGTTAATGTGCGAAGAAACAGGTCATCTTTCTGCGGATTAAAACTGATTGCCTTGGATCCTCAAAACTCAGCTAGATGGGGCTTCTAGAATAAAATGCTTGTGCAAAAAAGCTGGGCGCTAGGATTTGAAATTTTTTTTTTTTTTTTTTTTTTTACTTACCTGGCATAGATGCTCAAGCATATAGAGAGCTTTACGAGTTCTTTTAGCGGCACCATCATCCAAGGCATCTCCAAGCGTCATCAGATTGGCCTGAAAGTCTGCTAGATTTCTTTGGAGTAATACGCGTGGCGTATGTTTTCCGTGCTCCTTTGGTAATATTTGAATCTCATATTGAAGTCGAGAGCAGACTTCTTGTGCAAAAGCAGAGAGTGACGTGGGCTTTTCTGGAGGGTTTACTGGCACCCACCACTCTGGTAAAATAGCTGATAATGAGGCTGATAATAAGGTCTTTATTATATCCATCTCATTTCTGGCTACTAGCCACGAGGTCTGTAATCCGTAGACACCAGTGATCACCACGAGATTAAGAAATATGGATGCTGTATCATTGAGAACTGTACGTGTCGGTCGCAAATATTTGGGGTTCGTTGTTAGAGCAGATTGGTTCTGAGTGAGTACTAAGGTAACCTCTAGAGTGGATGTTACAAGCAGCTTGCTGCGTATGCTAAGATCGCAGATACAACTATCCTTTGGCTATGTAGAAGGCTAGGTTGTTCATTACCACGATAACAAACCGCGCAGCCCAACCGTACAGCCCACCCGCGCAGCCCAACGGCAAAATTGCCGAATGGTGAAGGTCCCGACTGGTTACATACACGTACGTGCATGTAGTCAGCAGGATCTCTAGCCTCTCTAAATGGTTGATAGGCGCATAACTACAGAGAGCCTAATATGCATGTTTATCTTTGGGCCGGCATTGGTACATAGCTAAATATGATGATTAAGCTTTACATGGCTTCTTTGCTTGTGCAACCTGCTCGATAGAAAGAATTATTCAAGATTAAGCTCACTAGAGCGTATGCACCTGCTGTATATCAGAGCTAACCTGTAAAATACTTGCCAGTCCATGCAAACCAACACTTCAAACCAACTGCAGTTGGTAGTAGTATTACTGTTTATTTATATGCAGCCGTCAATTCCTAGCCGTATTCAATCACGCGTTCTTTCAACGTATGAAAACACTCATATACAACTACGCCATATTCATTAGGTAGGTCAAAAATTTGAAACATCCCAATGTCGGACAGTTCTTGCAAATGTGTCTACAAAGAGGAGATGCTGCCATTTGTAACGTTCGCTCTACACCAACTGACACCGCATCCGCTACGTTCTTTATTCACATTGAATTAATTAATCGGAGCTCCATGCAAGGATGATATATTTACACTCTGGTTAATGATCTCGCTTCGAATATTTCGTTCTCTCTCAATTCTTCCTGACGCCTCTTGTAACAGTGATACCTTTCATCATGGAAACGCCCCATTGACCACTAATCCCTAGCAGCTGAACCACGTCCAGATCTTGACTTGAATTCGGCACTGTTAATTATTAGTATTCGTCATTTCTTCTATGGATACGAAGACAGCCTGCATAGTCCGGTATTCAGTGGCGGAAACGACACAATATACTTTGCAGTCCAACCGTCTGCATCACCCCTCTATCAAAGGGGCAGCCCAAGAGTTCTGCTTCAACGTGGAGGCAATAAATCAAGCTCCGCATTAACGCCGCCTGCACCACCCCCTCATTTATTAATCTACTTCATTGCACGATTGGACCAATTGAACTTACTAAAGTTTTAGGCAGCTATGCATAGATGTCCTATCTATTAACTATATATCGCACATATCCCAAAAATCGTGTTGCATACTCAGATTTTGGAGGAATCTTGCCGTCCAACTACTTGTATTATTCCATATCATCCTTATTCATACCATTAACATTGTGCGATACTTCATTTGTCTCACCCGCCACCTTTGTCGGAGATGTCTTATAATCCGGATGCTACAGGCTCTGAAATTCGAGATAAGACAAAGGCGTGCGAAGAACGATTTAACGCATGCCTCGCAGCTCCGAAGTTGAGAAAGCACGAATGGCTCGAGACTGGATACGCTGAATTCAACCTCTGGTCTTTTAGCCTCAACGCTTCCCATTCTGGTCGATCTTCGTTAGATTATAAAATTCACCAAAGGATAGACTTGAGAGAGATAATAACCGATCTTCTGGATGCTCTGGATGAATCTCTTGGGGAATGCTTGGACCTAGGTAAATTCGGCTTGATGCTGTAGTTTCAATGAGTAACATCCACAAGAGCTCTCGGAGCAAATAGATTGTGACCCGGCGAGCTTGCTCAGTCCTGAAAAAAATCCAGAGAGCCCTCTACATTTCAATGTTTTTAACATCAAAGCAACCCTGAAACATCTGACGAGGCTACAAATTGCGATCCGCAAATCAGGAACGCAGCTCCGTCATCACAAAGCTGACAGTAATTTAGAATGTATTCTAAAAACAAATGCTAACGGACTTGAGAAATTTAGATGTGATATGACTCAGATTGTCTTGTCTGGGCTTGAAAACTGGAAACGGGGGGAAGGGCTGCCCGGGCCTTGGAAAAACGCAAATATCCAGCTGCTTGAGCGACTCGTCAACGCGAATGTCAAAAGAAGGAATCGAATTTTTTTTGCAACAGAAAGAATGAGAAATGTAAAGGCCCGCCAGCCGGAGAACAAGCAGAACCTGGCTATGGTTCATTATCCTGATGAACATGACCATTACCATGCAGTTCAGATGGCAAACACTGCAGATTTCTTTAATTCTATTGCCCTTGGACAAGAAAGCCTGGTCAGAGACTTTATTATTCAAGATTCTGAGATTCTGAATATGCCAAATGAGCATGGAGAAACGCCTCTCATAGTTGCTGTCCGTGCTGATAAGCCGGCAATTGTCAGAGATCTCTTATGGAATGGAGCAAAAGTGGATGCTTTAGGATGCTACTGTCAAGAGGGCCAAAATACTCCAGCTTTACGAACGCCCCTTCAAGTTGCAGCTGCAGAGGATAAACTACACATGATTCGCATACTGCGTGAGAACCGCGCCGACGTCTTTTTTACTGCTCCAGATGGCGTTAATGCTCTTCAGTTGGCTACCAGCAACGGTCATGAAAGCATAACGGATCATATCCGAAGTGCATACATCAGCGCTATTGCCCTGGTACCAGAGGCTCAGAAGGAGACGGCAAAGCTTAAAAGAGGACTAGAAGAAATATTAAGTATAGGAGAAACTGCAAAGAAGTTTCCGGTTATCCCTTTGCCGCAGCGAGGAAATCTAAACGAAAAATCCCCAGCATCTACGGCCGCTACTGCCATAACAAGAGATGCGATTATCGAGCAAGCGCCTTCTAAAGCTACTTGGAGCGCTATTATCAAAGAAATGGGTACCCTCCGCGGAGTAACTTATCCACTACCCCCTAAATGGCCAGAAGGCTCTGAGGTTCCGCACATCGACTGTCCGTATTGCTCGGAGCCACTGACCCGGCAACAGATAAAACGGGCGGCATGGAAGTGAGAGTTCCTAAAAGTGTCAAAATTCTTAGCTAATCAATCCATTTAGTCGTCATGTTTCTGAGGATATTCTCCCGTACATTTGCTTTCATGAAGATTGCAAAACCCCAGATGACCTGTATCGGACTTCCGAAGAGCTCACCAAGCATTTTATCTCCGAGCATGGTGTGCCTTGTTGGATATGTGATATCTGTACGCCTGACATAGAACAAGAGCAATGTAAAATATTTGAAACTGCTCAGTTATGGAGAGATCATTTGCACTATGCTCATTCGCAAGTAATTTTAGATACCGAATTTTCTATGCTTGCGGAATTAAACATGCAAAACATGGTTCCAGCCGTTGATTGCCCCCTCTGCGACTATGCCACTTCAGAGATCAAGCCAAATATCGATCCGCACATTACTCGCCACATCCAACAGTTTTCTCTTAGGTCTTTGCCATGGGAAGCGCGAACCGAGGGGGATATCTCAAAAGAACCCCCAACGGGAAAAAGTTCCTCTGCAAGAACTAGTTACTTTGCAAAAACCAATATCTCGTCAACCTCCAGGGAAACGTCTCCGATGATGAGGAAGCATTGATGCCTATGGCAATTTTGCCACAAAAGAAGAGGTAAATTACTAGTAAGTTGCTACACTGATTGAAAGGTTAAAATAGAAGGGCATATGAACTAAATAAAGCCAACTCTTAGTCTAACATAAGGGGCAAATTAAAGCATAAGCCAATATTTCAGTAAACGGCTATCCGGCCTGCAGGTAAGTAGCTACCAGAATCTGAATCTTGTAGATACCAGTTCATTACTAATAAAGATTTTATATAGTGATAGAATTATTGGATATGGAAAGCTAAGAGTTGAAGGCACCTTAGAAGTAGAGCTTGAGATTTGGGGGAACTTATTATTATTGGCTTGCTAGAAATGAACTATAGCTAAATCCATAACTACATTTACTCCTAGAAAAAACCAGGAGCTTAACGTTTAAGGCTCTAACTCTCGTTGGGCTAGATTCCCCCTATTTTGTAGAAGAACCTGGAGAAACTATAGGGGCAAAGCTAATTCGGGATTGGTGAATGAATGAAAATAAATAATATCCTGGTAGATACGAAATATTCTTGTTTTTCTCCAGCTTTGAACTGAGAAAGCCTCAGAACAACCCAGATACCCAGATCACGAGGCAATGCGCCTACCGGACATATAATGTAAACCAAGTGAATTATTTGATTACAGTACCTCTAACGCCAAGATGATACATTTAAGCCACCCATCTAGGCTCACTGGTGCCAACCAACTTCTTATTCAACCGCGTATAATGCCACCACAAAGAAAAGCTCAAAACAGTACCCACAGCCAGAAAGCCGGCATTAATGCCATGGCCCAAGCGGTAGAAAGGCGCATCTTGCGCGCGATAGATCCAAACACCTATAATCTGGCCAGGCCCCGTAAAAGCAATGTTGAGTCCCGTAGCTAGAGATCCTGCGGTGGTAGTCCGCACATTATCTGAAATCCAGGCGCATAGTGGGGGCAGACCGGCAAAGACACCGGCCGTACTAATGCAAAGCATTGCATAACGAGCAGCAAAAAGATGACCCGGTAAACAAGCTGTAAGAAAAGGTATTAGCTTTAAACGCGTCACGAGTATATGATAGATCTAGCCTTACCTTGAATAATAAAAGCAATGGTGCCAAAGAGGAAGCACCCGCCAGCTACGAGACCTCTCGTCCTCTGACGATCAGATATCATGGCCAAGACAAGAGTAACAACATAAGCTACCGCATAGGGGGGAATAGTAAAAAGCTGAGCCTGAAGGTCCTTGTATCCAAGACCAGCGACAATAGTAGGGGCAAAGAGCGACAGCGACGAGACGCCAACTCCGATGCACAAGTATGTTACGTAGTGCACATATAGCCTGACATCCTTGAGGGTCGCCTTTGCGTCTTCCCAGTTGAGCTTTGCGTCACTTTGTAGCATTAGTATTTATTAATATTGATGAGAGAATATCTGCGCATACCCGTGAGACGAATTTACGCCAAGGCGTAGCACTTGGATGGCCTTTTCCTCTTCAGTAAGCCAGCTGGCCTTTTCCGGATAACTTGGCATAAACAAGAATGTCAAGATTCCCAGAGCAACTGTAGAGGAAATAACAGCATTAGAAACAGTTTGTTATATAAGCGGGACAGACAAATGTATTGATAGCTTACTGGAGGGAACGCCTTCGACAATGAATAGCCATCGCCAGCCTTCTAATCCAGCTCTACCATCTAAATGACCAACACCAAATGCAATAGCACTGTATACATGCATCACCGTCAGCAATCATCGATACCTGGGAAGGAAATTGCAAAACATAGACCTACCCGCCAAACGCACCAGCCAGTGTGGCGCTGCAAAGAAACAGTGCAATTCGAGTTGCCCGCTCTTCCGCCTTATACCAGAAACTCATGAAGAAGACCATTCCAGGAAATATACCGGCCTCGAAAGCACCAAGGAAGAACCGAAGCGCCGATGTGCTGGCGAAGCTTTTCGCTCCGGCAATGGCTGTGCAGAAGGCTCCGAAGCCGATAACCAAGAAGCCTAGCCAACTATTTGATAAGAATTGTTGTTAGTGGATAAGAAACCCATGATGATATATAGGGTGTTGATTGTAGGATTGTAGGAATCGTCTTACTAGTTAGGCTGGAAAGCCTTTGCGGCGAGGTTACTCGGTGCCTCGAATAAGGAATATGCCACCAAAAAGACCATGAGAGCAATGGTATACTCTTTAGTAGTCATGTGTGTTGAATCGAGTAAATCGTGGCCTTTGTCGGCGTTTAGAATTTTCGCATTGCCTGATTTGACAGTTGGTTAGGTGATACGATCTCATTTTGCAGAGTCAAAATATCCAGAGCCTACCAATGTTGGATCTATCCATGTAGCAGAGAAGGTAGATCAAAACGGTAAAAGGCATTAGCCGTGTATCAATCTTGCGCACGATTCTAGGTAAATCGCATCGCTTTGTTAGTTTCACTCAGCATACCATACTAGTGGTTATGATAACGACTTGCCTCTTTTCAATGGCTGGATCAATATCCTGAGCGCGCTCAAAGTGAGAGCTGACGCCATCTTCGATGGTCTTTGGTAGCTTTTCATCTTCCATGGCTTCAACGAAAAATAATTTGTGAAGTCTATAAAGAGATGATTGTAGGATAGAGTAAAAGGTAGGAGTAGGTATGAACTAATGCATCTAAGCTGCAGTCCTAGAAAGAGACCGTGACTCAACTAGATGCGGAGAGAATTCGACGGCATATATAAACGAAACGAACGGAAAGAACGGCAAGTGAGGGGATAGCAAGACAATATTGGAGTTGATATCTCTACCCAGACTCAAAAGCTGTCACAATGTTGAGATGAAGTCTTGACAATGCACCCTTCTTTGACAGAAAGGTAAGACATGCAGGCCCTTGCCGAGTCCCTCTCCCCGCCCTTGCTTAGAGGAGGTCTCCCCATGGGGAAATGCTAGTGGCATCAAGATTAGCCGGTAGACGACAGGCGAGGGGCGAATGGGAGCAACTCGACAAAGATGCTAGTGGAGATGGCTTGTTGATACTAGCGCTGGCTCGGATCCGGTAGACGGTTCAGCTGCGGAGATGGCACGGAAACGCCTGATGGCCTGGCTAGCTAGCTGCATGGCTTCTGAGTTGTAGCTAATGGGAACACTCGTGATAGGCTCATACTCATGTCGGCTGTCTCTACTCGGCAACACAAAACTCTGTTTGTCTCCGGTAACCATCACTATAGGTTTGCGCTAGATTTAGCCACGTGGCTCTATTACATAGCATTATATCATTATATGATATAAAAATGGCAGCCAAAGATTTCCTGGCTCAAGTACTTGCCGTCCACACGGGCGCCCAGCTTGGTCTGGCGTTCGATAATCACTTCCAGAAGACGCGCCACTTTGAGAGCCGTCTGCGCCCCCTTTTGGTCCAGTCCTCCGATAGGCAGCCCGTCTCCCTCATTACTATCAAACCCGGAGTTCGGTCGTTGACCGGTCATGCCACTTAGCCGACCGAGAGCTCGAAGCTGCAACACCGCCCATTCCTGCTGCACGGGGTCGGACACCTCACAGCCAAATAAGAAGCATACCCACATTAAGCCTGGATGAATAGCAGTAGAGGCTGTGCGTGGGATGCTCGCGTCAAAAGCGTGCTGATGTATAGGTTGGCCGACACTGCGGCGCATCATATTGCCTGTTTGTTTCAGAGCCTTGCGAGCAATGGCCGTGTGCTGCAAAGTCCAATAGGCGACACGGTGTATATATATGAAGTGTGCCCAAAAAGTGGCAATATAGACGCTGAACAGCTGCTCCAGCCTGCGAGCAATATTCTCACTGACAAAAAGCCGCAGCTGTGAAGCATCTAGATCAAGAATGCTGGGACGACGTCGCCAGAGCTCCTCCAACTCTTCTTCAAAGCCCATACATGCTTTCATCACCTCCATCTCATCTTCAGGAGTCCCACGTGAGCGGTGGTGGCGATCGTGGCAGCCAACACGTCGCGAATATGCTTGTGATGCCATATGAAATTCGAAGGCCGGCTGCAGTAATATGTTGAAAACACCCATACACACTACATTCTTAGGTATTGTGGGCGGGTCGGTCAGCAGCGTAGTCAGTCTAGAGCCACTATTACGAGCCTTTGTAGCGGCGTTTACGCCCCTTTCTCCTGTAGACACAGTACTAGGTGACATGCCGTCGATATTGCCGAGAGCATCGTTGTCTGATACCTCCATGGTAGCTGAGCCGGCAACACTTGGACGTGGCTTTCTTATAATTTCCAAGGCCGGATCTGATAAGAGATGGCGGCCGCCCATATGAGACATCTTGGCGTCGAACGAATCAAGCCACTGGAAGAGACTAGCAGAGCCTGTATCCCAGCCCCGACCGTTGACAATAACTTGCTCGGCCATATCTTCGGGGAAGCTGGGATGGACCTGATCATTCCCGTCATAGGCGGTTTCAAACCAAGCCAGCAAAAATATGACGACCAGTAACGCTCGGCTGCTTCGCTCCTCCCATCCAGCATGCGAAAGACTCAGTTTGAGTGCCACGCAGGCAACGTCGTGTAGTCTTAGGGATAAGAGACCAAAGTCATCGCGGCAAGTAGACACACGACTGCCCAACGCAGCCAGAGCGGCAGGCCGGCTAGGCTCGAACAGCATAGCACTGAGAGCTGCAAGGGCATGCATGACGGCTCCGTATTCGATTGAATTGTGCTTACCATTGGCCATGTGAAGCACGTACTGCTTGATCTTGGGCCAGCCCAGCGGATGGATGCCGGCGAGCGAGGCTGGAGGCTGGATTGCGCACTCAAACGTTCGCAGCAGCAGCTCTTGTTGGGAATCTGATAAGAGTGGTGGGGAAAAAGCAAACGCCGGCTTGTATCCTGTGCCGCCTATTTGTCCAGTGCTTCCTTGTCCGTTTACACTAACAAGTTGAGAATCGTTTGTGGTTCGAGCAACGCTCTGTATACTTGGACTGTTGTCCACGTTTGATACTGTCAAGGCGTTATTCCCGTCCACATCAGGCCAGCCAGATGATTGATCAGAGTTGAAGAAGTTGGGGCTAAGAGCACTAGTAAATCCCAGTGAAGTAAAGGAAAAAGCAGAGTCTGGGAGAGGAACCCGATCAAACCAACTGGGACTCCAAGGCGACTGTGAGAGGTCCCCTGTTAGATCCCCCGAAGGCATGGACGCAGAGCCAAGATCGAGTGCTTCCGTTGTGGGAGTCATGTAAGAGGCCATTGAGTCGGTGATGAGTGAGTTGGAATTTGTGCTTGCAGAGGAAGCTCCAAACTGGCCGCTAATACTGGTGGACAGCGTCGTCTGTGTACTGTGAAGAGCATCTGCAGTCTGATACGAAGTCACTCCCGAGAAGGATGACGAAGATTCATCCACCTCGTCCGTCGCCATGCTGAATCTTCGCGATGTGTCCATGTTGGAACCAACATCAGCATCAACATCCTGTCGAGGACTGGCTGAACTGTCGTCAAGCGAAGGCGGCCTCTGTTGGCTGCGTCGTGGCCGAGGAGGCTGGAATGCGCATTCAAGCTTGAGTCTATCACAGTGGCCACACGTCGGTCGCCTCTCATCACAGCGAACTCGTCGAAGACGGCATGTTGAGCATCCGTTTTTGGACCGCGGACCAGAGCGGCCGAGCGCGATGCTTTGACGCCGAACAATTCCGGGTCGAGATGACATGTTGATGCATGTTATGGTCCCGATGGTAGAAAGTAAAAGTCGCTGTTCTGAAGACAACAATACATGTAGTAAGAATACAGGCAAGAGGAGGCTGCCCCTTCCATACCTAGACCAAAGAGAAATGCGGGGGCGGAGAAAGGGCGCCATGGTGCGCTGCTAAAGCCACTAAAAGCCACTAAACACGCTACCGCAGCCACAGTTATAGCGTGCTCTCTCCTCATTTTTAGTGGATAGAATGGTGTAAGCAGAATTCCGGGTTTGAAATACTCCAACGTGCGTGTAAGTAGAGACGGGCTGATCTATGCCATCGATCGCCACCCCAAATCTTGTACTGATATAATAAGATATATGGATATTGCATCTACAACTTGGCTCTAGTGCTATACGCTCCAGGATTCAGGTTCCACGGCAACTCGGCCGCTGCCCACGCCGAACTCGCCTCTCCCTCCGCAAGCACACTCTTCCAATCCTCACGACTTATAGACCGAGCCTCTTCGGCAGGATTATAACCCAACCGACTACGTCCATCTTCTTCTGGCTTCGTGTCCTCGACCCTTGGAGCTACCTCGCCGTCTATCCTCTTGTATATCGTCACTACTGTGGCGCCTCCCATGCCCATGTTGTGCTGGAGACAATACCGTGTTGATGCAACGGACCGGCGCTTTGCCCATCCACGAAGATGCCAGACTGTTACACAAATTTTAGCCATGATGTCTTATCTCAATGCACATGCTTAACATGATAAGAATACTTACCCAACTCTGCACATTGTGCTAGACCAGTCGCTCCCAGGGGATGTCCCTTGGAGATGAGTCCTCCACTCGGATTCACGATCCAGCCTTTTCCCTTCTTCTTCGGATTATATGTAATGAGGCCATCACGAACCAGCTTCCAACCTTTGCCTTCCTCAGCCAATCCCAGGCCTTCGATAGCACACATTTCATTTGTAGTAAAGCAATCATGAAGCTCAATTACCGACACGTCTTTGGGCGTGATGCCCGCCTGTTCATAAGCACGTTTTGCCGCATTCCGTGTCATATCAGAACCGATGAGCTCAATTGCGCTTCGCGAATCGTATAGCTTAGAAGAATCAGTAGCCAGAGACTGGCCGGCGATCTGAATGGCGGTGCTGCGGAGATAGGGATGAGCGGCCAAGAAGGATTCTGAGACAATCACCGCTGCCGCTGCGCCAGTCTAGACAAGTAATTGGTTAGTTGAACATCATTCAGCAGTAGCTCCTATGCTTACAGAAGAAGGACAGCACTGCAATCGTGTGATATCCCCCGCTATGACGGGACTAGACAACACATCTTCGGCCGACACAGCCTTGGACAGCTGAGAGTAAGGATTGCGTGTGCCGTGTTCTCTGTTGACCGCAGTAATCTGTGCAAAATCTCGTCTCTCAGCACCGCCCGGGCCTCCATATCGCTGCAGATACTCTGCCTGAGCATTGCCGTAAAGCTGAGGACTCCATCCCGGCGACGGTTTGCCGCGCTCAGACTCGGGTATCTGTGTCTTGGACAAGTCTAGAACGCGAGACAGAGGATTGGTGCGATCTTTATGCGTCTGTGGCAACACACCAGGATACATCTTGTCAAATCCTGCAACCAGAACACAGTCTGCGTCGCCAGAGCGGATGGCCTGGTTCGCCAGCCATAGCCCTGTGCTACCAGAGCTGCAGTAATTGTGAACGTTGAGGATGGGAATACCCGTCATGCCGAGGCTGTAAAAGACGCGCTGGGCACATGTTGAGTCGCCAAAGACGTAGCATCCGATGCCTTGGTCTACCTTATCAAAGGTGAGTCCGGCATCTAATAGAGCTTTGACGCAAGCTTCGACAGCTAGATCGAGATAGTCTGACTGCGGGTTGGCTGCTAGGTTGGCTGACTTTTTGGGAGAGAGGAACGGCGTCATGCCAACCCCGACAACGAAAGATGAAGATGAATTAGGCATTTTGCTGTGGCTGTTGTATCCTAGATGAAACAATATTACAAGATGTCTTGTAGAAGGCAGTCCGGCAAGGAAAGCTCTCGCTATAGCCTGGAATGGCAAAGCTTATTATCATGGCTAATGAGGAGGGAAGATTCCGATCTCGCTACCAGTTCCGCAATACGAATTTGAAGTATTCTTAACAATTCCAATTTTGGTAAAATGATCTAATCGTTACCTTCGTTGCTCCGCAGCGGGTGGTTGATGTTCATTTTGCGACAGACGACAGCCGAGACCCACTCAACCGCCACTCTTACTTTGGTGCTGGGACTAGTACGAATAGCTAGACGTGTTGAATAAGTCAATTACGGCAATTCAAATACGAAAGAAATGTTACTGCTATTAAAAATAAGCTCAAAGAATGGTTGTACGGTGTTAATACACAGTAGTTTGATGTATAAGTCCATGGCAATATACATGTACCATAGTAACCATCAGCGTAGAGAGTGTGAAGATAAACGCTCACTCACAACATGAACCCAGATAGCAAAGCAATAGAGTAAAATATATATTCCAATTTACAAGTAACCTAAAAAAAAAACATAAAAAATCCAGCCCTACAACCGACTCGGCATCCTCGCCGCCCCATCCAACCGCACCACCGTCCCATTCAACATCCCATTCTCAACCACACTCCTCACCATCTGCGCAAACTCCTCCGGCCTCCCCGCCCTCGCCGGAAACTCAAGCGTCTTATTCAAACTCTCCCTCGCCTTACCCGGCATCCCCTCCACCATGCCCGTGTCAAACATCCCCGGCGCGATGCACACCGCCCGGATCCCCCACCGCGAGAGATCCCTCGCAAGCGGCAGCGTCATGGACGCAATCGCGCCCTTGGCCGCGCTGTAGGACACCTGGCCCTCTTGCCCGTCAAAGGCGGCTGCTGACGAGACCGTGATGATGACGCCGCGGGAGCCGTCGCTGTCGGCGGGCTGCGTTGACATGTGAGGCACCAGTTGGCGGATGACGTCGATTGTGCCGGTGAGGCTGATGTCGACGACCTTTTTGAAGGTTTCGAGTGCTAGAGGGGTACCATTCTTTGAGAGAATCTATAGCCATAATTAGCATAGGAAAGAAGTAGAGTAGTGATTAATAGTAGAATCTCACCTTTGCTGGACCAAGAAACCCAGCGCAGCAAACTACCGCAGCAATGGGCTTCTTCGTCTCTTTACTCCACGCAACGACACCTTCCACCGCCGCAGCAACATCCTCCGTCTTTGAGACGTCGACTTTGAAATATTTCTGGCCCTGCAATTCAATTGCACTGCCCGGCGCGCCTTTTGGAAGCTGCAAGTCAAACACTGCTGTCGAAGCACCAAGGCTGCGCATCAGCTTGACTGTGGCTGCGCCGAGGCCAGAGAGGCTGTAAGTGCAATTTAGCTTTCAACGAACTAATCATTTGTTGCAATTGCAATCCCACTTACCCTCCTGTAACAATGACAATTTTATCCTGGACATTCATATTGATCTTGTTCTTGTTGTTGTTGTTGTGCTCATCACAGTTGTCTTGTCGGAATTGCCTTAAATTCAGTATCTCAAATTGCCCGAGGTAAGTCCACATGGCTGTTTCTGCTCCTCCTCGAATTTGCAAAGGGCCGCACTCCGCCTGCTACTTCAAGAAAACCGAACTGGATCCATCCCCCCCCAGATTGCGCTATCTCCTTTTGAGTGAGAATCCCCAGATTGCCAATTCTTTAGCTTGGCGGCGGCGGTGCCCCACACATCCCCGTCGTCTGTCGTCTGTCGTCTGTCGCTTTTCGCGTTTTGACTTGACCGTCACATCATCACGCGGCACTCGTCAATTTCCAATATACGCCTAATTTTGGCTATTGAGTGGAACATTTGAGACTTTATTATACCAAAGTTTGGCGAATGCAGTAGCCGACGTGCAGTAGCTCAACTCCTCGCTCGGCTCCCGGCCCCGAATCGGCCCCACATCGGGCCCGGCAGCGGAGCAAAACCCAGAACGTCCTCACCCCTCCTCTTATTCATTCTCTTCAGATTATAGCTTTCCTCAATTGTCCCAAAAAAAAAAAAATGAATTTTTCTCTTCTCCCATAGCAATCACTCCCTCTCAAACTCACACCATGGCAAACCGCAAAGAATCCCGCCCCGGCATCAAAGCCATGTCCTCCTCCGCCAAAGCCAACCTCTCCATCCTCCACGGCCCAGCTCAACCAATCCCCATCCACAAGACATTCGGCAACCTCCTCCGAGAACAAGCCAGATCCCAACCCTCAGCCCTGCTCGTCGCCTCAGACCACCAGCAGAAATCACTATCCTACGCCGAGGCAGATTCTCGCTCGGATGATCTCGCTCGGGGCCTGGCCGCCCTCGGCGCCAAACAAGGCGACCGCATAGCCATCCTCATGGGCAACGAAATCGAGTACATCGAAACCTTCTTCGCGTGCACCAAGCTCGGCGCGCCGGTAACCCTCGCAAACTACGCCTACACCGAGCAAGAGCTGCACTCGGTCCTCTCATCCTGCGGCGTCTCCACGCTGATCATGGTCCCCCGCTTCGACCGCTACGACTATCGCGCCTGGATCCCCAACCTCAGAAAGGGCATCCCTTCGCTCAAAAACATCATCGTCGTCAACGCAGACAAGGAACCCGCCCTCGTCAAGCTCGACTACCAAGACTACGAAGACGTCATCCTCCGCGGCCGCAACAACAACACAAACTTCGACCTCCTCGCCCTCGAGGCAAACATCCACGCCAGAGACGTCATGAACCTCCAATTCACCAGCGGCTCGACCGGCCTCCCCAAAGCCTCCGCTCTCACCCACAGCGGCATCTACAACGCGGGCCGCTACATCGGCAGCACAATGTACCTCCAAGCCTCGGACCGCATCTGCCTCCCCGTGCCGCTCTTCCACAGCTTCGGCCTCATCATCGGCCTCGCCGTAGCCACGGCGCACGGAGCATCGCTCATCCTCCCCGCCAGCATCTTCAGCGTCGAGGCCACGCTGGCCTGCATCCCCAAATACCGCTGCACGGGTCTCTACGGCGTGACGACCATGTTCGTCGCCGAAATGGCCCACCCTCGCTTCCACGACTTTGACCTGTCCAGCCTGCGCTTCGCCATCCTCTCCGGCTCCGCCGTTCCCGAGCCTCTCATGCGCAAGGTCTGGTCCGCCTTTGGCATCACGCAGACACACACAAACTGGGGCCTCACCGAAGCCTCCTCCATCGTCACCATGACGCGCGACACCGACTCCATGGCCCAGCGCACCGTCACCTCCGGCCGTCTCTTCCCCGGCTTCTCCGCCCGCATCGCCGACCCTGCCACCGGCCGAACCGTGCCCCGTGGCCAAAGAGGCGAAATCGCCCTCCGCGGCAACGGCATCCAGGCGGGCTACTACGCAAACCCGCAGCGCACCGCCGAAGCGCACCGCGTCTCGCCCGAAGACGGCCTCGAGTGGTTCCACACCGGCGACGAGGGCTACTTCGACCCGGACGGCTTCTTCGTCATCACCGGCCGCATCAAGGACATGATCATCCGCGGCGGCGAAAACATCTCCCCCCTGGAAATCGAAGAGCGCCTCGTCGCCCACCCGGCCGTCGCGCAGGCCTCCGTCATAGGCGTCCCCGACGCCAAATACGGCGAGCAGATCTGCGCCTTTGTCGAGCCCACGGCAGGCACAGAGCGGCCCTTGGACGATGAGCTGCGCGCGTGGGTTGCCGAGACGCTGGCGCACTTCAAGAGGCCGCGGTATGTTATCTGGCTGGGCTCGCATGCTGCTTTCCAGACGTGGCCGAAGACGGCGAGTGGCAAGTTGAGAAAGCCGGACCTGAGGCTCATTGCGGCGGAGATTATGAAAGGGGATGCGGTGGAGGTGGAAGTGCGAGTGCAGGAGCCTGTGAGGGCGAGGCTGTGATTTTTGATGCTTGTATGCATAATGTACCAATGAATATGTCCGAGCGGACGCTTGTCTGGATTGACGATGGTGTTACTACTACCAGTTTCAGCGAATGATAAATATTGATAAACTCTCTGTAGTTTCGTTGTATATTCCCCTTTACTTGGCTCATGTAGAAGAATACCTTTATCTCACTCCTTTTAGAGTTGCCAACATCACATCAAGTCAACATCAGATAGGATCCAAGTCTATCAATTTCTAAAAGCCAAAAAGTAATATTAAATATATACAATAGAACGAAACCAATTATCAAGCATTTTTGCTTGAGACCAAGACATTTCTTGGTAAAAGGAGGCTATCTATCTATTCCATTAAAGAAGTCGCATGCAATCTGTTTCCGGCGAAGTCTTTTTTCCCCAATGTTCCCACGCTATGCATATGCCTAGTGTCCTTCCCGTATATGATTCGCATAATCCAAAATTCCATGTTTAACATTTCTCATTTCTTTCGTTTGTAATTGCATTCGGTTTGTTTTTGTTTTTGTTTTTCTGAACAAAGGAAATAACGAGTGTACTTCGTGAAGACGATGAGTCGCTTGTCCAAGGAGCTTGAATGACACCTTGGGGCGAGATAGTTATCAAGACCAGAACAAAACAAAAGAAAGAGATAAGAGGCAAAGTGGTTGTTTCAAAAAAAGGAGAGAGAAACCCAAGCGCCATCGCAATGCTTTGAAAAACCAAATTCGCAAAAGCCTTGGATTTCAGGCTTCAGATCGCGCGTCCCGCTTCCATTCCATGATATGCGCATAAAAGTCGTTTGTTCGTTCACACCCATCCCAGTCGTCATTCATCAATCCATTCTTGTGATTCATCAGTGCGCCGTAGTGGTAGCCTTGGAAGACCAACCCCCCGGGCTCAAATGATCCCACATCCAGGAGAAAATGCCGACTACAGGAGGCGCCCAAACGCCAATGCCCTCGCTCTCTTCGGCCGCCGCGGTGCGTGTGGCAGCGGGAGTGGTACGCAGCATCATGTCGTGCGAGGAAGCCGAGAACGAAAAGACCTGAACGTCGTCGACTTGCAAAAAATCGTAACCGCTCATGACGTCGTAGATGACCTGTGGCTCTTGAGGCTCCACATCTCGCCAAGATTTGCGACTGAAAGGAGGAGTATATACCTTGGAAGGTTTGCGAGGCGGGACGCTGTTGGCATCGACCTTGATGTCAGTCTTGACATCTGCCCTCGCACTCGAGTCGTCGGTATTTGTCTTTTGATCCATCTCGGCCTTCTTCCTAATCTTCGTCTTGGCGCTCGTCTTGACGTTCGTCTTAGGTTTATCGTTCTTAACGAGCGGGGCTTTGCCCTTGGAACGCAATTTCTTCTCAGCCTTCTTCACTCTCTTCTCTCTCTTATCTTTCCTCTCGGTGTTTTCGTTTGCATCAGCCACCGGCGAGGCCACTACCTCCTCCTCTACTATTCTGTTGATGATGTTGGTCTTGATATGAACAAAGCCATCATCTCTCTCCTCCTCAACAATGTCACCCTCCCGGACGTCCTCGACAGGATGGGGCGTTGAGACTAACACAGCCTGAGGAATGCCTGGCGCGATAGTCATCTCTATCAGTCGGTTGTTGGGACCAACGACCGAGTCGACCCTGCGCACCGCGGGCGAAGCCGCTGGTAAAAGTCTAACCTTCCTCTTCTCGAGCTGTTTCCCAAGATGCATTGTGAGGGCACGAGTAGAGATCTTGGCGGATCCGACAACCCATTCCCGTACCGGTTTCTTTCCCTTGTGAGTGCGAACCACGCAGCTATTCTTATCTCCAACTGCTTCCTCCTGACGCTCCCTAGCCTGTGACATAAAGTATACTTGCATCATCCCGTCCGGCTTTAGGGCCTCGAAAGAAGAAATAGTCGCAGCGAGGATGATGGGCGATTGGAAAAAGGCAGGTGTCAGTTGTTGAGCATTCTTGGCACGGCCAGCCATCAAATATTGAAACCAATTGCCGCTATTCTGCACGATGAAGTAGGCTGTCTGTGTATTCTCTCGAGACAGAACACAGTTCATCTTTCTTCGAGTTGCCACAACGCTGGACGAGGAAGTAATACTAGTAGCTATAGTGTCGGCAACTTCCGCCATGGTCTCCAGGCATGACGCTCCTGACGAATCGGCACTAATGACGATATCGGGAGTCTCAGCAACTGGGGTCTCAACGGCGGCAGTACTTGTATCGTCGGCTGCACTAAGATTGGGGGCCTCTTCGGCATCCGGGGTCATTGTGGGTACTGCTTCATCCTCCACCGGTGCCATGGACGGCTCGGAAGAAGACTCCTTTGCATCTCCGTCATGCATCTCAGAGGAGTGCTCTTCGACAATGACAGAAGATTGGGTGGTTTCGACGGAGCACGTGGAGCTCGCGTCAGAACCAGACGCATCAGTGGAGCCAACGGTATGATCAGAGGCATCCGAGGCCTTTCTAGGGCGGAGACTCTGCTCGGATTCCCGAGCAGTAACAGAAGTAGCAGCAGCAGCAGTAACAACAATATCCGGAAGAGGCAATGGATTCTGGAGCGGTGTGGCAGGCAGGAGGTGGGGGTTGGAGGCGGGGTCTGAAAAGTCGAGACATACGTTAATGATGTCGCACTCCCCTATGTCCTTGTACTTACCTTGACCTCGCCTCGCGATGAACTTGGCCGCCTTGAATTCTGGCTCAGGGGAGGCACTGCCAGACCTGGAAAACGGTGGGTTAGCGTAATCGGTTTCACGGTATTGGTGGTGAGGGTAGCTGCAGATGGCCAGCAGTGTAAGATGGAGGGAGGTGTGGAACATACAATCCTTGCACAATGTCACCCCACGCTTCTCTCTTGAGGGCTCTCATCGCCGCTTGAATCCTCGCTTTCAACTGCTTGGAAGACTTGACAACATTAAAGTCGGCCAGAAAAGAGTCCGACTCTGCGCCCTCGGAAAAGGCATTGAAGAAGTCAAGAGACTTTCGCAGTCTAGTTACAAAATAGCTCCTGGCAATGGACGGATACTCTTTGTTGCGGAATTGGAGAAGAGCACGCTTCGCGTCCATTGGGTCTTGTCCGACCTTTGCAGCACGGAGTTTGACGCAGATCTATAATATTGGCAATTGATTAGTTTCTTACTCCTCTTCGTATTGTGACTACCAAGTGTGGAATGTACAAATATCACTTACAGAAACAGGCACAAGAAGGCCAGGTCGTTCCTTGGTAGGCACGCAGGCCTTGACAAATAGCCATTTCTTCGCATCAGGGCTAAGGTTTTGCTCGACAAAGTCGGCAATTCCCTTATTTTGAACCCATGACTCCCCGCTTACAACTCGGTTGACGTGCCAGGCCTGAAAGTAGAAAGTTCCATCTGAGTTTCCGCCTCTCCGGGTCATAGTAGGATATAGACTGGCGAAGGGATAAAAAAAAGATGGGCCGTTTTAGTGAAAAAACGGACTCCCACTATCAGACAGCAGAGGCAGAGCCGTCTAGTAATAGAAAAAAAAAAGACAAGAAAAGACTAGAAAGGTAGAATTATTCAAGTCTAGTCAAGGTAGGGTCACCGTGAAGATGGGTTGGCATCTCGACCTTCTAGCAACGACAATGGGACGACTGGCCATCCATTATATCTCAGCCATGAAAACTTCGTCTCACATCTGATTTGTATGCCTCGGCCATGCATACGATTCAGCTGCATAGATACCTCACGGCCACGGTGTATGAGAATGGAGACTGCGGCTTTGCACAAGTGTCTGTCACGGCACCATTGACATGACAAAGCCGAGACAACTGCATCGACTTGACAGGCGTGGATCCCGTCACCCATAGCACCCCGGCCACGTAGCAAAGAATACGCCATGCATCATGCATACGGTATATTGTAGGAGCGATATCATTGGTCAAGACGTCTCCGTTGGTACGGATCGATTCGGCTTGCCACCGCTGCATTGCAGCCTTACGTGGAAACATTGGCCTGTACACGGCCACGACTGGGCCCAGTTCCGTCGGCTGTGGCCCAGCTCTCATACGACAGCGCTCGATTTAGCATTCAGGAGGCGTTGCCTGTGGTAAGCCATTGCGTGTTGAGGCGGGTTCCATAGCCGAATCACGTCTGACTGGAGAAACGTGGGCGCAATCAACGCAGCCTCTTTAAATCAATAAGCCTCCCTTGGGCATCCTCTCCTTCTCCCCGCAGATGGTAGCGCTGAAATCGTTTACTGACAGCATGAGAATAAGCCGGAGACACCAGAGGCGGAGCTCAGGTTTTGCTGCGTCTCGTAATACTCCGTCCCCCATGTTTTCCCATCTCGATATTGATACGTCACGAGCATCTATTAATGGATATGTGGATATACGCAAGGCATCATAAGCTGCTGCTTATCGGGTACAAGTGCTTTCTGCTGCGCCGCGTAGAGCCGAGACGAGTATAAGAAGCCAGGCAGTCCCAACGCGCCTCTCGCGCGCGTATATGTTGGAATCATCAACATCATCATCATTCTTATTCCTTTGGTTTCCCGTTTTGTTGTCCTAGTCTCTTTGGTCAATGATTTGTTTCAGATAGCGTAATCCTCTTGTCTCTGATTCAGCCTAGCCTATAGTCCTTTGCTCTTCGAGAGAGCTCAGCCCACTCGATGCTGGCACGAATGTCTTTTTGCCCCGTCCATCCGGAGAAGCTGCAAGCACACACAGTCTAGGACGAGCTGACCAACAAGCTGGATACCCAAGGAGGAAGCCTGCCAAGAGCAGTAAAAGTGAGAGATCAGAGATGACGTGAAAATGAGGGAAGAAAAAGAAGAAGTGCGATACCAGCTGCCAATCAATGGTCACGAGCAGTATCGGCTTCTCCATGACTCGTCCTCATAAGGTGGACAGACGCACCCAGGAATAGAGAATAGCCCGAGCAGCGAGACGAGGCAAACAGGCAGACGCGCGCGGTTTTGATTGTCCTAACGCAGCGTCCAGCCACCAAACGCAGGCCACGTCGATGAGGTGTTTGAATAGGATGGGCGAGATTCATTGGCGCCCGACCTCGTGACGCCCAGAGCTTGTACCTTGCGCTAGGCACTGGCCGGGCTCCAAAGAGGTATAGGTACAGGCACCGATACCCAAGGGAGCATAGGTAGGCTGGTACCTGAGAGGACCTGAGAGGACCCGAGAGGGTTGTATGTCAGAGTCGCAGCAGCGCTGGAAATGGAAATGGACCCTTTATTCCAGCTTATTGTAGACGGACAACGCAGCAGCCCATAAAACGGCGATGGTGCCCTGTAAGCCAGTGGAATTGCGTGCATGCTGCAGGAGGCTCCATCAAGCGTGATGACGAAGCTGGAGAGGCATGTGCTGCGCCGCGGTATTATGAAGCTTTAGCGGTGCTGGGTGTTATCTGTAAACATGGCTGGCAAAGCGTCATCAATACAAGCCTTTCTAGCATCGCCCACACTTTCATGTAGGTACTAAGGCCAAGGCATAATGGCGGTACGTTCCGTTCCCGCCAACCCATATCCATATCCATATCCATATCCATATCCATATCCCTGTCGCTCCATCACTCTTATCGTTCAATGATAAAGTCTTCAATGCTGTTATGTACTCAGCCTCTTCAACCCCCCTCCGTCAGTATCCGCCAGTACCCATCTCGCGGATCCGAGCCACCGAAGCGCCGCAGAGCATCACAGCTTACCGTATACGGCAGCAACCTGATATCAAAGTGCACACACTGTATATGTAGGATGATCCTTTTTCCTCTTACCACCTACAACCAGTTAGTTCTAGCCCTTCCGCGCCGTCCCGCCCTGAAGCTTACCTCTCTCTCTCTCATGCCTCTTCCAACTCAACTCGAACTCACATCCAGTCACCGCTCCGAAATCGGGCCCGACCCAAGCCCATCTCGTCGCCCGGCCACTCACAGCCCGCACATCCACAACGCAGCTCACTCCGCACAATGCCATTCGACGAGCGCCGCAGCCGAACAGCACTCGGTACCAGCATCGGCATCGCGAAAAATCCCCGGTATCGATAGATGGATGCTCGAACGGCGTATTTTCTGCTTACTTACATTTCACCTACCGACTCTGTAATCGGCCTATCACCTACTACTACTGCCTCTCTTATTCTGGCATTGATTTCGTTATCGTAGGATTCAAACCGTGATGCTTACGGGTGTTGCATCTGCTTATTCCAACGTTCCCATATCTCCCAGCCGGCTGCGTGCCCTTTTCGCGCTTCAAAAAGAAAGGCTGCCTCTTCCTCTTCTTCTCTCTTTCTTCCTTCACTTCTCCCTTGCACTTCACCGCAATTAGCCGCAAGCAAGAGAGAGAGAGAGCAAACATCAGACCATTTCCAAGTAGCCATTGAACCTGCGTCTGCCACTCCAGTAAATTCCCAGCTAGACAACACACCCGTCAATAAGCGCGTACTTGCAACTCCAACTCAGCCTTGCTGCATCCTCCTCCTCTCTCTCTCTCTCTGTCTCTTTCTCTCTCTCCCCCCTCACGTCAATTCCCTTCACGACAAATCAAATCAAAGCCAATGAAGACAAGCGACTCCGCGTCGCCGCCATTGGCCCCCGCCATCGCCATCATGCCGACAACAGACGGCCCCCATCACCACCTCTCCGTCGCCGCAATGACGTCGCCGCCGTCCTCTGCCGTCCAGTCACAGTCGCAGCCGAAGCCGAGATGGAACTCCAAGAACCTCGCCTGGCGCATTGGAGCGGATGCCTGGAGCGCTGCATGCGCTGGCGCACTGGTGGCCCCAATCATAACCATCATTGACCGGTAAGCAGCACAATAACAATAACCCAACACACATTAGTACATAGTTATATCCATGTATATATATATACACTAGCACCGACATTTCACATGCAAGTCACATGTCCAGCCAAGTTGCATACCCATATATACAACGTACATACATCACCATCAACATCGCTTCACCCAACCAACCAACCAGCCAACCAACTTGATATATACCATACCAAATTGAAAAGCTAGCTAACACATCCCTCCACAGCTCCATCATGGAAAACGCCTCCGGCCGCAACTCCCTCTCAAACTCCATCCGCTCCTCTCTCCGCACCCTTCTCCTCCGCCCCCAATCCCTCCTCCTCTCCAAGCCCTGCGCCCTCGTCTTCGCCCTCTACTCCGGCACCTACATGACCGCAAACTCCCTCGACACACTCGCCTCCACCGTCTCCAACCGGCCCGCCGCCAGCATCACCGCGGGGCCCTCCAAATTCGCCGCCTCGTCCGCCGCAAACGTCGGGCTCTGCGTCTACAAGGACCAAGTCTTTGTCCGCATGTTTGGCCCTCCCGGCGCCGTGCCGCGTCCCGTCCCGCTGCCCAGCTACGTGCTCTTCACGCTGCGCGACTGCCTGACCATCTTCGCCTCGTTCAACCTCCCGCCCTTGCTGGCGCCTTGGATCGATTCCCGTCTGTCCGACACGCTGCGCCGGCATGTCTCTGGCTTGACCACGGCGCAGTTCATCGCCCCGGCTTCGGTCCAGCTCTTCTCCACGCCGATACATCTGCTCGGTTTGGACATGTACAACCGCCCAGGAGGGACCTTTCGTCAGCGATGGGAAGTCGTGCGATCAAACTGGCTCGTTAGCACCGCAGCTCGAATGTGTCGCATCATCCCAGCGTTTGGTGTTGGCGGTGTTGTCAACTTGAAAATGAGACGGCATCTCATGGAAAAGCTCGAATAATGCCTCTCCCGCCTGTCCCCCCCCCCCCCCTTTTTTTTTTTTCTTTCATTCTTTGCATAACAAGCGATATTCTAATGATTTTTTTTTTTTCCTCATTTCATTTTTTTTTGTTTCCCCTTGTCTCTCGGCTGGGAAATATAAGACATCAGTATCTTTGCGTCTCATCCCGGACGCTTCATGAGTAAGACGTACATATATGTATGATAGACTAGATGATATAGGCATAACTACCCCAAGAGCCAGCGGCTGGCAGATATAACAATCACAGAGAATCACGCAGGACAAGAATGCGTACCAAAGTCGATCATTTTCATCCGCATCAATCACAAATGTTCATCTTTAGCTTTCACATCCGTTGGCATCTTTTTCTTTTTTTTCCATTTGCAGCCTCGCAGCTTTCTTGCCAAAAGTTTTCTCCTCATCTGTCCACCCGTCCATCAATGCATTCATAAATACAGAATCCATTCCACCTTTCCATCAACATCGGCAATAAAGCATTTGTACCATACAAACACACAAAGCTAGATTCAATTCGGGGCCAAGCCCAATACATCTCCGTGGGTTTAATGCAGCCTTCGCTCCATACGTCCCGTATCTCTTCTCAGCATCCATTCTCTCTCCTGCAAACTCTGTCAAACATAAAGCAAGGTATAGGTTCCGACCCGTCGTCTCTCAACAAAAGAAAAAAAAATGAATTGTAGAAACAATAACATAAGCACAAATGGCTCGGTAGACCGATATACATCCGACTCAGGGACTCATCCACAACGGGTGTCGTCTCCCTTTCCCAAACGCCCTTTCCGAGGCTTGGCCAATCAAAACGTATCTGAGTAAAACAATCATATAAATGCCATGCTTGAGGGGGGCATTTCTTCATCCGCAGCTTTCGATAGAGCAGGACAACATGAGCTTAATGCTGAGTGAAAAAAAAAAAAAAAAAGTCAGATAGCAGAATAGGTAGATAAAGGCCGTCAGCCGGCCTATAATTTTCATGCATCGTCCAGTCCACGTGAGTCAACTTGCATCTGCATGAGAAACATATTCCCAGCTGGTTGAGGCGGGTATCAGTGGTAAGTGATGGCAAGCGGCTCATCAAATCATGATAATATCTACTCCACAGCTGGTAAAGAAGAGTAGAAAAAAAAATATAGACATTGAAGAATTAATGGGCTTCAAAATGCAACTATGCCACTTCCACGAACAGCATAAGCTTCTCGTTTCGCTCAAGGGCATAGTCGAGATCGGCATCATTCGACAGACGGGGCTTCTCTCCCGTCGACTCGTCCTTGTAAAACAGCTGGACCTGTTCTGAGGGCGATACCTTGAGGCGGTCTTGAATCTTGTCACAGAGCTGCTGGTACTGGATGTCTGTGGGAACTCGGATAGCAATGAGATCGCCATTGTAGGATATCTTGATCTTCATTACTGCTCCAGGCTGGCCCTGTTGCTGCTGCGGCTGCTGTACATGTTGCTGTTGCATAACTAGTCGTGGCGTTAATATTCGCATAGATGATCAATAGTCAGGGGCACAGAATTCTATAGACTTGCTTACCTTGCTGTGGGTTGCTCACTTGGCGGGGTGTAGCTGAGAGACCAGAGTATCCGTTGCCACTCAGGTTGTTTCGCGATGACTGTCGCGAATCAGGGTTAGCATGTGACCCGGAGGATTGAGAGCCTTGGGACAGTCGGTATTCCTCGTCAATCGTGGAAGGGTCCATCTCATAGTCGCCTTCTCTGGGGGCGAAGAACTGCTTGACAAGCGTGCAACGAGCAATGTAAGGGGGTTGGTTAAGTAGATTCTTGACGTATGCATCTAGATTATGCAGTCTTCCCTCTGTGATGGCATCCGTCACATAGCTGACGGGGCCAGGCATGTAAGGGAGTGTTCGCTTCTGGGTGCCGGTATTACCAGCCTCAGCGGGGAATTCAGTCAGAAGGGCAATCTGGAAGTCATAAAAGTCCTCATAGTACCTGGACAATTCCCAGTGTCGCCCATCCTCGAGCTGTGTTTCAATGACAAACCAGTACTTGTCCTCTGCAAAGCAATAGCGAGGTATCCGGGCAGAGATGGGTGCATAGAGTTCCGTTGTCGCGCTCGATACAAATTCGTTCTGTTGGGGGAGAGCAGCAGGCTGAGAGGGCAAGCTTTGAGCGGGCTATTGGGGGGGATTCTATTAACGCCTGATCGAAGGGCAAAGCCGACCAAAGTGGCAGACAGCAAGAGAATAAGGGAGTTGCAGTGGAAGCGAACAGGACGGATAGACGGAGGGATTATATGAGCATGTTCAGATGGTAAGATGAGCGCAAGGGTGGGAAGAGGAGAATGGCGAGTTAAGCAAACAGGTAAAGAGAGTAAGTGAGGACAAAAAGAAGAGGAGAGTGGATGGAGGAACTGGTAGAGTTGAGTGAAAAAAAGAGAGGTCCGCAGTGGTAGAAAGCACAAAAAACTCACCTGAGGTCCAGGCTGGATGCTCATCCGCTCCATGCTCTGTTCCAGCGGCTGCGACGGTCCCCCGCCCTCAAACTTGCCCAGCGTAATGCTGCTATTCTTGTACGCAGTCGCCATCTTCTTCCACTCCTCAACCTTGGGAACGCCTGCCTGTCTGATAGCGGCATCAGGGTTCTCAATGGCCTTGCCCGTGCCCATATCACGGAGCTCAATAAAGGACACCGGGATCAAGCCTGGGCCACCCAGCCGGCCAATGGGCTTGGCGACGAACCACTCCGGGTTGGACTGGGCGATGACGATGATAGCCTCACCAGCCTTGGCCTCCAGTTCGTCGGACCTTTCCGCGTTGAAGTCGTACATGACGACGCCGTACACCATGGCGCCCTGCTTGGCCTTGGAAGCGCGCTGGCTGCCCGGCGCTCCGGCCGTGCCAGGAGGAGAGTGAACTTCACCGTAGCCAGAGTCATGGTCAGGGTTCTTGTTTGCCGTTGGCGGGCGGCCTCCGTCCGACTGCTGGCTGTCACGCTCAGTCTTTCCTAGCGCTTGGAAGAAAGCGACGGGCACGAGGCCACGCGCATCGGGCAGCGCAGGGTTGCAGGCCTCGTACCAATCCGGATCGTCTTCTCGGCCGATGACGTGGAAGAAGTCGCCCTTGGAGAAGCTCAGCTCCTGGGTTGAGCGGGCTTCATAGTCGTAGAGAGCGCGGATGACCTGCGTAGACAGAGTAAGAGGGAAAGTCTCGACAACTATGCTATAACAACTAGGGAATACCAAGGAACTTTTTTTTTTTTTGAAAGACGTAATGAAAAAGCCATATTGCAAACGCAGCTCAAGGGGAAACAGAAATAACGGAAACGAGGGCAGGCTGTTTGCGCGCGATAGTGTCATGCGACCTTGTCGATTTCGACACAAACAGCGCAAACAGCAGGCAAGACTGAAATTGGAAACAAGGGGACAGAAGGATTCAGACGCAGCACACTGGTTTAACGAACCTTCTTGGGCGGAACGATTGCGACAGCAGCTTTGGGGGTGATGGAGATGCTGTGCTGCTTCTCCTTGTCGCCTTTCATAGACCGACGAAGAGCCTGTACCAAGCCCATGGCTGTTAGTTGGGTTTCTTCTTCTTCTTTCCGGTTATGCCTCTGCTTCTTCCTCTATTTCTATTCTTCCTCTCTCTTTGTTCGGAGACTTCGTCGCAAGGGAGTTTTTGGCCTCTGTTTATCTTTCTGCGCGTACGGCTGTGACTGTGGAGAGATGGTGATCGTGACGGGTGTGAGGAGCAAGGCAGCTGGGCATGCCAGGCAGGATCGATATACGGGAGAGAGAGGCCATGCGTGTCGCCGGTCCGGCAAGCGTTTGGGGAGGGGAGCGGTTTGCAGCTGGCAGCGCATGACTTGCGCAGTTGGCAATGACGCACCTTCATCTTTCTGCGTGTGTAACAAACAGGATCGTCCGGGCTGGGGCTTCGTGCAAAGGTTCGCAGGGCAGAGGGAAGCACCGTTGAGTCGAGCTGAGCTGTATTCGGCGATGGGCTCGAAAGGGCCGCGAGGGGTCGCGCAAAAACTAAAGAGGCAAGGGAGGGGTCCTGTCTCGATAAGAAACGGCGGAGTGGCCCGATTCGCTTCGATTCGACTCGACTCGTGCGTCGAGAGAGCGGCCGCAGGGCAGATCGAAATCGTGGGACGAGGCGGAAGAGGCGAGGAAGCGCACGAAGAAGTCGAGCGTTTCCGGCTCGGGAAGATGCACAAGAGCAGCGTCTCCTTGGTCTCTCGTGCTTCGCTGTCGGGCGCCACACAAAATGCGCGTGCTAGCACTTTTTAATCTAGCCCAGCGGCCGGCTTTAGCCTCTTGTGTAGTGTCGGCTGCGCCTCGTGCTTCTAGAAAAGTCGAGCCTCGCGCGGGTGCAACGAGCTCAGGGAGGGGAGCGTTTTTTTATTTATTTATTATTGTTTTTTTTTTTATTTCGCTCCTGTGTTGCGACCTCAGATTCGGGCGATGCGGGCGGCCGGGCTGGAAACGTGCAGCTGCGGCGCTTCAGCTCCCGTTGTGGCCGTCTGCCTCGTTTTCGTGGTTGCGCCAATCTAATCCAAACCAATCCGGTGCGGTGCGAGACGACGATAGCGCAGTCGCTGCTGGCTTCTCAGTGAGAGTAGTGCTACAGAGCCAGTCTAGTGACAGAGAGAGAGAATAAGGGCCATATAATATCAATAATAATAATAACAAATATAAAACAATTACTTGGTATGAGCGACGGCTGGAGAAGGACACCGGGAGACGCGGCTGCAGCTGATGCGGATGGCAAGGACGCACAAGCTGGACAGCTGTGGTGAGCGGGAGGAGATGCGTGGCGATGTCACGAGTACGTGCACCAGCGCCGTCTGGCTGTACCGCCGCGCTCGCCTTCCCTGCGGTCGCTACCTGGTGAGACAGCCAGCCGGGGTACTCCGTCGCTCTTCTGCCATCGTTGCGAGTCGTATCAACAGCCTTCGTCCGAGTAAGCAGCCCAAGCCGCGACCCGTCTTGCTGGGTCTTGGGGGCCTGCCACGCAGCATTGGCAGCGCCTACAGGCACCTAGCGGGGGTTTTCAGACCGGCTGCCGGTGGGTCCGCCAGCGTCCCAGGCGCTATCCACGCCCTGTAGAAACAAACAAGGTGCGGAAGAGCAGGGGACCAGCAGAAAAGGAGGGGCACAACAGGCAAGGGTTGGCCAGCAGGTTGCGTGAGCCTGCACGAAAAAGACGGCCATGTGCGGCGATTCTTCGAGGCCCCCAGCTGCTGCAAGCCAACATCATCATCTGTAGCAGCAGGCCGGCTTTGCATCCGCCAGAGCCTTGGGGCCGTAGTTGTTGATATTATGGGACGAACTCCTAGCACCTGCACTACTGTACATGTGCCTACAAGTACAGACTCCACGGCTTGCTATTCATAGGAACAGCAGCGCCTCTAGGCAGGTCGATCATCAGATGGATGGAGACGGATACGATATACTACTGTATGCACAGTACAGTATGTACATGCAGCCCTGGCCGTTGCTGAGCGCCAGCCTGCGCCGAGGAGGCTGAAACGGGGCATCACAGCCAAATGTCACCTCTGTTGGGCATCATTTTGTCTCACGGCACGTCTATGCTGCCTTGCTTCATCGCGTGTGAACTCCTATGAGCGTATTCCTGATTCTATTCGCACGCTGTATTGTCCTCGCTGTCCTTTTAAGCATGACTCGATGCCCATGTTAGTGCAGACTTATACCTACTAGGTAGGTACTTGTTACCACATCCATCCCCCGTGTGCTTACAAGGCAGCAAACTGCAAAGCCTTCTTCTTCTGGGAGGGAGCCCATACCAAATATATCTGCGAGATTAAATTCACAACTCGCCAGGCATTGGAGTACAGTAGTACCGGGGCCTCTCAATAGTAGCAATTCCGCCTTCAGTGCCCAGCCGCCAGCCTTATCCATCTGCATCTATTTCTATACGTCTTTAGCCAGCTCCACCCGCTCTGACTAGCCCCATCAACGAATAAACGCCACAAAACTTCTCCCCATCTGCACGCATCTCACTAGCCTCACCTCGCCCATCAAAACCCGCCCAAGCCCTGTGGCCAACCTCTACATGGTGAAACACAAAACCATCCAGGCCATTGACAAGAATAGTTGCACCATGTCCGGACAGCACCGGCAACTTATCGATTACGCCAATGCATTTCATCTCCCTGTTTCAACATGCCCTCGTCTTCTCCTCTTCAGGGCTGCAACAGTCAAAAAGTGAATGCTGCCAGACCCATCGCAGAACCGCTGCAGTGACGTGCATTTAGTGCTTGCTTGCCCTGTTACCCACTGATCGTCCTTCTCTGAGGCAAAACGAGTCAAACAATCAAGGTTCTCGTCACCGGCAGAGTATACGTAGGTTGCATCTTTCAGCAAAACCATCGTCACCTGTCAGATTCATCTTGATCAAACCAGCATCACCCCTTTCTCCATCCTTGATTCGATCCTCCTACTTAACTGTATCATGCATCATTGTATAGCAGGTTAGAAGAAAGGCAGTTCAGTAGGAATCTTGAATCTCATTATAAAAAGAAAAAGAAAAAAAAAAAAAAAGGGGGGGNCCGGCTTTATTGTTGCTCCTGTTTGTGTGTTGGTTCGACAGTTTGCCTCTGTTTACGCAGTAACTTATACCGCACTAGTCTACAGCTCGCCTATGCCAAGAATGAGAGTCAATAGACCGTATACACAAGATCTAGTCTGTGCAGACCGTTCAATAGAACAGTATATTGCAGCCGCCCAACTAAATTTAAACGCAAGCAAAAAAAAAAAAAAAAAAAAAAAAAAAAAAAAAAATCTTCGTTGTAGGGTTACAAGGACCTAACAGCTGCGTCTGAGTGGCAGCAAGTTATATATAGAGTTAAATCTCCAATAGAAAGATATATAGGTGTACAGATATAAACCTCTCTCTGCTGGATTTCAAAACCCAGCTCTCGCCATTTCTCTGTGGCTCAAGGCTCTTTTATAATACATCCCTCCATTAAACTTCAATCAACAACTTCTTTTTTACACAATGAAGGCCGCAATTCTATCCATCTTCGTCGCCGCTTCCGCAGCTTTTCAGGGATCGAATGATGCCACCAACGAAATCACGGCTGACAATATCTGCGGAGAATTGGGAGCCATCAACCTTGGCCCCAACGAGCTTCCCGGCCATGTCTCTCTCGAAGACGTCCGCACGTGTGCTCAGCACCCCCTAGGCCGCAACCGCACTCTCGATCTCTCGGACGAGGCGTCAGTTCCGCCTGCCTACGTCAACCAAAGCATGGCTGGCAATGAAATAACTTCGCATGTCCGCCGTTTAGCTCAAGATTCCTGTTATTTTGGGGCACCTTACGGCTGTAGCAAAGGCTATTGTTGGAAGGCCTGCGGTTCAACACCCGGTAAATGGTGCTGGACTGCAGCTGGTGGCGGTTACGGCAAATGGAATCAATGTGCAAGTTATGAAGACTGTGGCACTGATGATGCTCGATTTTCCTGTGGTGCCTTTTGCGGGAAACATTGCGGATGCAGCTGTTAAACCATGATTGTGGGCGGCCCCTGTCTTGGGGGGTTTGGCTTGTGACGGATACGCCAGGGTGAATTGTTGGGTGAATTGTTGGCTCAAGCAATTACTACATACTCTCTTAAAGTCTTAAAGCTGTAGCATAGACACTTGACTAGCATGTCACAAATAGACTACCTTGTAACTCGAGTCCTTTTGGTACTGAAATAAACATATGCTACTTCGCCTAAATCTATTGTTGTATTATAAAGCTCTCGACCTTTTGACAATGCATGCTTTATTTATCAAGCCTACTAGACTTCCTCCTCGCAGCATATACATCGGCTATCTGCAATAGGGAAAATCCCCTATAAGCTGTTGAAAAGGGCAATGCTAGCATAAGAAGCTAGCATCAGCGGGTCTTTCGGTTTATTGACGCAGTTAGCACCTTTTCTATCTGTTACAGATGCCAAATACGCCTGCTTGGATACCGGATAAGTCGTCTGTATATTAGGTAATACCTTGTAGTCAATTGATACTGCTTCGACTATGTAATATATATACAAGTAAAGTCGAAAAGTGCCTCGTGCAAGCCGTCATATCCCAATTTTGACAAGCTCATTCATGGCCATGCAAAAAGAAAAAAAAAATATCAACCACGCCAAAACACCGGCATCTCTCCACGCCCTCAGTGCGACTATGAAATTGTTGAAGAGTGCCGGAACTGCTCTGTCAAGAGAGAAATCTGGCCCAAAACATCGCATCGCACATCGTCCAAATCCGTTTCAACATCCAACTTCGTCTTATTGGAGTTGCTACTATGAATCAAGTGATATCCTGCTTTGCTATAAAGCAGAGAGATCTGGTGTATCAAGTTAGAGTAGTGAATCGCTCAAGAGAGTACCGTGTCAAGGTGAATGCCTGAAGTTCGCTTCATCTCTTGGGGTAGCAGAGAGTAATAATACTATCCCATACGGACTCGTTTAGAGCGGGAGGAGGAAATCACTCGTGATCTGAAAGTGACTTTCACAGACTGGATCCAAAAAGAAAAAGAAAAGAAAAGAAAATAGAATAATGCTTTTAGCCTCGTCAGAGGTCAGCAAAGTACTGTCGTTAGATATCAAGGCAGGCTGGTCTTTTCAACGTAAAAAAAAAATAAAGAGTTGGTGGCTTCGAGCCACATGCAAGTTTTGTGAGACAGAGGAAAAGGTGCTTGGTGCGACGTGGCAGAGAGCAACATCACCAAGTTAGATCTGGCCTTTAATGTCCACTTTCTTGAAAGCTGAGGCTCTAGCGCTTTCAAACAGGCCCCCAGCTTTGCCAGTCAGGAACGCAATGTACTCTGTGCGATCTTCAAGAAGGTGTTGCCCCTGGTAATCAATGATGAACTGGGCAGCATCAGCATCGGATTCGAAACCGAGCTCCTCAGTGATGAAGCGCAGCTTGACGTCAGGTTTATATCTGTTGAAAATCGCGTTAGCATTAAAAAATCCCATAAAATAAAAGATTAAGGGTGTTTTTCAACTTACCCTTTGCAGATGTTGCACAGAGCTGCAAGGCGCTCCCTCGTGACAAACATATCCATAAGATATGCACCCATGTTGGGTGTGTCAAGGTATAGCTGGAAGAACTTGTGATAGTTGCCCAATGCCAGCGTCGACCGCACATCGAGAGCGTGCTTAATCGGCTTCTCTTCCTTCTCCGCTGCTGTTAGATCTGCCAGGGTGTCGTTCAAGCCGGTTCGGTTGGCAGTGTGAATGAAATAGAGGATACGATACGCCTTAAACTCAATGGGATTTCCCTTCAGGCCCATTGCATACAATGATCGCAACTGGGTCTGGCACTGATTATACTCACCAATGTCCCCCTTCTCCAAGGCAATCCGGGCATGGATTTCATAGACGGAAACGGTAAATTCGTTCTTGATGCGCTGAACCGTGAGATCCTGGCGCATGGACTTGAACTGATCGCAAATATAGGAATAGTTGCTCTCCTTTCTCCACTTCTTCTTCAGCAAATCCAACGTTTGACGGAGAACTCTCTCAGGTCGCACGTTGGACGCTACAGGGGGGGCAGTGAGGCGGAGATACTTCTTTTCAAGGACTTCAGAGGTACCAACAATAGGGCCGGATGTCGGCGGGGTTGGGCTGGGCGATGAGATATTGGCCGCCTTGTACTCGTTCTCGAAGCGACGTTTGCGCTTGTTGGCTTCTTTCTGGAACTTACTAGACTTTGGGTCATCGAGGGCTGCCCGCTTGTCGGGGGAATACGAAATGCGATCCTCGAGGGATCGGCCTGAGTTAGTAGAGTGCCATGGTGGCATGGACGTATCATTATTTGCAAAGTCATTCGACTTTCGCTTTCTAGGATTGAAAGTGTCGTCGGTATATACCGGCGTTGTCAAGGATAACGAGGCAGCGTGATGATGTAGTTTCAGCTGTGCCTCACGGTCAGCTCTCACCAAAGCTTGGGGCAAAGGCATGCTATCCCAATCAATAGTGTAGAGTGAGTTGTTCTCTTTGGCGCTGCCGATGGTATCTTTTAATTTTGCTTCAAGCTCTGCACGAGAGACAGAGGCATCGTCGTTCTCGGGATGGAAAGACCGCTGGACATATCGACGGACTGATTCCGGCCATTCGGTCTTGCTTCCTTTGGGCTGTTCTACGGGTGCTGGAGGTGCACTGGTTGCAGTCCCGGGAGCAGAGGCTTGGGCCTGAGCGGCATTTGACGCGTACGGGTTATATGCTGGTGGCGGAGGAGGAGGAGGGGTGGTGTATGGGCCGAAGCCTTGTCGTACTTGTACTGGGATGAAAGCTGGGTCTATTGAAGAGGTTAGATATTGCAGGTCAACGCAAGCAGGGGAGACGAGAGCCATACTAGGTGGGTAGGCATATGACGCTGGAGGAGGGTGCTGGGGGACAACGCCCGGCGGGTGCTGGGCGCTCGACCAACTTGGCATCATCGTAGCGGCTGGAAAATTGCTGGCTGGAGTTAGTTTTACGACGTGCGGATGATGGATCGGGTGCGGATAGAGAGTCCGGCGCGAGCTCTGGCAACAAGTTGATAGTCTCTGTTGCGGAGCGTGAGTTGGGATAAGGAGGCAACGGGCGAGTGTTGGGCCGCAATAGGAAATTGTGCGAGGAGAGCCCCGTGACTTGAAGTCAGCGGCTAAAGCCCGGCTATTCTGAATGGACCCTTCATGCGCTGGCAAAGGTCAGGCCTGTCGCGTTATTCCAAATCTGGCAAATAGTGGCGACATACCGGATGTAACCTATGGTATGTAGGTACGTACCTTTGTGCGCGGGATGTCCCATGCCTCATGGACGAGTAGCTCAAGCTGTGGTGGTGAAACCTTGCATCTGTCATTATCGTCACTTTATACTCACCACCGCTGGAGATTTGCAACCTTTATAGCGTCCATTGTGCTCTTGGACTATCCCAATATCTTATTTCAAAACTCTTTCCAAGTCAAACGCTGGATTCCTGCCTCCATTCACCACAGCGTCTTCGGCACGTGCTGTTCAGCGCATCATCCATCCTAGAGCGATTCACCCACTCGTCCATTAAGAGGCTGGCTCTGTGCCACAGCCGCGGGACGGATGTTCCTGAAGCATATTGATCTCACCACTGCACTGCGGCCTTCGTATCTCCCGGATGAAGTACTGCTTTTTGTCCAAGACAATGTCGGCTTGTACGAGGGGTAAGTTAACATGACTATATGCGCTATCGGTTCGTGGCGGGGCTCAGAGCCGATGAATACGGAGCGTGATGCTGATGAGGCGAGCCACGAGTAGGAAATACAAGCTTCCAAATCAGCAAAATGGCCAGGTGTATTTGACATCTCATCGTATCTGTTATGTCGATAAAGATGAGCCCAGAAAGCATTCGGCCGCTCTGGACTTGAAGGAGGTGGATCGGTATGAGTTCTATGCCGGCTTCTTCAAATCGTCGGCCAAGGTCACCATTGTGCCCAAGCCTTTGAGACGATCAGCGCTTCATAACCGTGTAATGTCCGGCACGGGAGTCCACTCAAGACACAGCACGCCATCTCCTACATCGTCCAACGACGCCTACGCTCCTCCTTCTGGGCCTCCGCCAGCTTCAGCCACCTGGGTCTGCAACATTTGCAGCTTCTCGAATCCTGTCCCTTCCAACTTTGATCCTGCGGCTGCAAATGCCCATACTCCTCTCCCACCTTGCTTGGCCTGTGGAATCAAACCGGCACTATCTCTGGTGCTCAAGGCGGCTATTACTAGTGCAAGCCGTCCATCACCTTCGCCAAACTCCAGCCAACCGGGAAACATCAATTATACGTTTTCGTCAGCATCAGCAGTGACCTTGGGACTTGTTGATCCTTTCTCATCGCCCAAGCCTAGCGACCAAGGAAAGACTGATACGACAGTCTCATTTCAATGTCCGCGATGCACTTTCTCCAATCATCCGTCGCTGTTATCCTGCGAGATGTGTGGAGCACCATTACTCTCGCAAGATGTACCTACTACCATTACCCCTTCTGAGTACATCAGAATTCTATCACAATCCCCTGGACCAATCAAAGATACCAGCCAAGGTGCTGTTGATTTTGCAGAAAGCATCAAAATCTCTTTTCGAGGTGGCGGAGAGAAGATATTCTATGAACGCTTGAAGAGTGCCATGACGCAGCGAAAATGGCTGCTGCAAGATGCTCCTCCTGCCCCCAAAAGCAACCGTATGGCAGACGACAACTCCCCCGGTGGCTCACCAGGCACCCCAACCCAGAGAACGAAAACGGCTGGCATTGCTGGACTAGAGCAGCTGGGTTTGAACATGCGAAAGAATAACGAAATCTTAATCGGCAGCGCCTTTGAAGATCTCGAAGCATTGATGACCTCTGCAAAGGAAGTCGTAGCGCTGGCAGAGAGATTTGCACAGCAAGTCAACGGAGCCAGCGCCGATGTCACCTCCAAGGAAAACACAATCCTGGCTGAATCCGCCCACCAGCTCGGCCTCATCACAACAAAAGACATCGTCGGCAGCGGCGGAGGCTCTGACTCTCTCTACTTCTCCGAACTCGCCCGCAACCTGGCAGAGTTCCTCACCGACGACGCAAGAGGCGTGCTTAAGCGAGCCGGCGGCATCCTCACCCTCGTCGACCTCTGGGCAATGTTCAACCGCGCCCGCGGCGGCGTCGAGCTCGTCAGCCCCATGGACTTTGAAAAGGCCGCCCAGATGTGGGAGTCCCTCAAGCTGCCCGTCCGGCTGCGCACGTTCCGCAGCGGCGTCATGGTCGTCCAGGCGCGGGACCGCACTGACGACGTGACCATCAAGTCCATCCTGGCCTGGCTGCAGGACCTGCACGAGTTTCCGCCCGATCGGGAGGTTGTGTGGGACTGGAGGGAGTTTGGGCGCGGCGTTACGGCGCAGGATACTGCCGAGAGGTTTGGCTGGAGTTTGGGCGTGGCGGAGGAGGAGCTTCTGATGGCTGAGGAGCAAGGATTTTTGTGTCGTGAGGAAGGGCTTGAGGGGTTGAAGTTTTGGAAGAATTACATTGGGAAGACTGATATTGCGGTGTTACAGAAGCGGGAGGCTCAGGAAGAGGCGGATGCGATTCTGCGGCGTTTGAAGGACACTGGTCTTATGTAGCTTCAAGGGGGGTTTGGTAAGCTTGCATCTTTATCTTTTTGACGCGGCCGGTGATTTTGTAATAGAGCACGAAGCATATGGTTTAAGTTGGGATTGTCTTGGAGTTTACATAGAATTTGTGTTATCAATTTTCATGAATGATATTGTACATAGGTAAGCAGCTCAGGAGGGCAGTAGATCTTGTTTCAAGGGCAACATATATCGCCTCTCTCAGCTGCCGTCTGGATATAATAGAAACAGTTATAAAGAAACACCGCAACTCCACAGTTCCCCTTGTCTTTTGTCAAACTCCATGTTCGCGTCGGAAAAACATTCTCACACCCCAGAGACGTGACCTGCAGTTCCCCAACCCTCCATACTCCCAAATCGTGAAAATAAGAAAAAGAGGCATCAAGTTGAAAAAAAGACAGAAAGAAAGAAACAAGAAAAAAAGACACTCGACGTTTGGCTGGCTAAAATCACAACGCCAATGTAAACTTCAAAACAACGCCTAGATTTCACACCACAACATGTGTCGACATGTGTTCGACGGCCTCCTTGATCGAGCGGAGCATTCTCTGGTTGACACAAAAGGGGCATCGCAGCGGCCTATCGTGAGTGGCCATGGGGACCTCTGAATGAATCGGCGTAAGAGTCAAATCAGGGGCCATGTCTTGGCCAGGCGTAGCATAGCGGGTATCAGAAGGTGCACGAACACCCGGAGTGGCCATCATCACTTGCTGTTGAAGTCCAGCGGCTCTTTCTTGGCGATCTCGCTCTTCGCGCACAGCCGCAGCTTGCTCTTCAGCGGCCTGTTCCTCCTGCTGAAGCTGTCGAAGGGCGTTTTGCAGCACCACCTCGGGATCGTCGTCTGCGTAGATTGGCTGATCAGGCGGCGGCTGGGCGAGCGTGGGCTCGACGGGCGCCAGAGCCGATAGCGGAGCTGCATGAGCGTTTGCCAGTCGTCGGATGATTTCGTCTCTAACCAGCGCACAGGTGTTGAGGCTCGACTCCACGCCCACCACGCGCAGGACCTGCTCCCGGATCGCAGCCGGGCTCGTGTCGGACTGGATGGCCATGAAGCGCGGCACGCAGTCTGCGAGGTAGTCGATGTCCTCGGCGGGGTTGATGCCTCCGTCGCCATGCCGGCGCTGGCGCCTGATCAGCAGGCCGTATCTCTTCTTGAAGCGGTGGATCCAGCCCGGCGAAAACTCTGGCGGGCTCTCCTCCTTGTACCGCGGCAGCTGGCCGAAGATGGCCTTGGCCTTCTCGCCCAGCTCCTCGTTGGTCGGCTGGCGGCCCGCAGCCTGGACCTGCTGGTACCACAGCAGCACCAGCTTCTCGACATCGGGCCAGTTGCCAAAGCGCAGCCGCGAGCCCGACAGCTGCGGGTTGTCGCCGTCCAGGCGCGAGTACTTGGGCGACAGCGAGTGCGAGACGGTGGACTGGCTGATCTGCTGGCCGTACTGCGCAAAGAACCACTCGATGCAGGCCTTGTGCGACGGCCGAATGGTCTGGTTATTCGCCCATCGCCGCAGCGCTCGGCGTTGGTCCAGCGTCAGCGAGTGTCGCTCCTTGGGCCCGGACACGGACTGCGAAATGTCGCTGCCGTCGGCGCCCACCAGCGAAGGGTCAGTCGCAGCGGCGGCCATCTCAGCTCAGCGGGTGCTTCCCTTTAGCAGATGGCGTCTTCCTGGAATTGCAATCGTTGTATCCGATGGATGCAGGCTGTGGTTCTGCTTAAGGAGATGGTGCATGCGCCAAAAAAAAATCGCGGTGGCGGGGCGCGTATCTCGCAGGGCTTTTTGGCGCCCCCAGAGCGGCGCCTCACGTGATTGCATTGCGACCGTTGCGTTTGGGGAGGCGGCAGAGGCTGCATGTTGGCTCCGCGATGCGCTGGATTGCCAGCTGCAGCAGCCCGCTGATAGGCGGCCCTGTTGGTTGCCCTGCATTTGCTGTTTGTTGCACGGCCGTGGACGGCGATTTGCAGACGAAGAACCTCGCCTGCAGTGGCTGGCCTGTGGGCGCTGGATATGCGATTCTGCCGGCTAAGCAGCATCTTCGCATTAACGGGGATCGCGAGACAGTTCTCTGTATATGCTTATATCCCTTAGTCGCCTGCCAATTGAAGCTCTCTGAGCAAAGCCACCAGTTAGCAGCAACACCCTCTCGGGCACTAGACTAGGACATAAAGCAGTGCATGATTCGGCATGTAATTAAAGAAGCCTCAAATCCCCTTTATTATGCTATGCTAGATAAAGTGCATCGGGCATGGTTGCTTATTCCAGCTTGGATGCTCTGCGTATTACATACATACATATACAGCCAATCAATACGAAGCTTCAATAATTGCCTACCTAGGCAAGTAGGCAGTCGGCCGATGTGGCTAGCGGAATCATAGGAATATGCAGCATCGACTATGAATTAAAGCAGTTCTGAAGATGACGGCTTCGTTCATTATGTATGCTCTATCCAAGGCCATCATTGTAGTCATGTGTGCTTCTAGGAACATGATGCTGGTCTGGTTTGGTCTGGTCTCTTGAAGCCGGTAATGGTGAGTTACGCTTTATTACCGTCATGAATTTCATTACGCTCCTGGTAGTCCAAGCTGCATACATTAGGCATAGTTTGGGATTGATATAATAGGTACTACAAATAAGACAGCAAATGCATTCTCCAGTGATACTTGGTTGCCTGTTTTACTGCTGACCCATGCTCCAGAGCAGCATCTGTGGTCATGTATCATCCGTGTCAAAACGTCAACTGCTTCCATGGAAAATAAATGACAACTTTGTCACAGCATCGTTTCTGTCGCACTCAAGGCAACATTAGTAGGAACAAAACAAGTAGCAATGTACTTGTAATTGCGCACACGCCAGTCTTGTTAGGGAGAATAAATTGTATCGCATCTATCTCGAGACACTCGCTCTCCAGGCATCTATTATGTACAATACAACATACACTGCCATGCTGCAGCCCCAATTTTCAAATTTTGCAATTTAGTGCTTCTTGTCCTGCTCCTCAAGGAATTTCCTGTCAAGCCGTTAGTCTGGTTTTGGTCCAGGGTCGCACATAGTAGTATATCACGCACTTGATGAAGTCGGCCTCGTCAGAGCTGGAAGCGTTGATCGGGGGGGTAGCGACGGCAGAGGCGGGCTTCTTGGGGCCAGAAGTAGCATAGTAGGCACCGCCGAAGAGGGTAGCCAACCAGCCCATGGCAAGCTGTGGTTTTGATTTTCAAGTTAGACATCCGCAACCAAAACGAACTCGACGTGCGACTTTTTCGGCAGGACATACGTAGTGGCCGCCGACTTGTCGGCCAGCAATAGTGTAGGTAGCGATACCAGCCATTGTAACCTCGGGATATGCGTCGAGAGGGTGGACGAGAGGGAGAGGCGGGAATCAATGGATTGCTGGAGATTTGAGAATCGTTTGGCGGGCGACAAAAACGGAGACTCGACTTGTGCCTGGAATTGCAGGCCCGGGATTTGGCGGCTATTCCTCGGCGGAGCTCATCGGCGCGGTGGATTCCCGACTCAATTTCGCTGCCGACGTCACTATAATGGCCTAAAAGAGCTCTGCGGGAGTTCCTGAGCTATAACCGCGGCCATCTTACTAGCTTCAAAGTCGTCATAATTGCTGATCCTTGATTGTTTGTCGTGCACAAAGTCGAATTTCCCAGAGAAGAGCTGTCGATTTATTATTACATTTGTATTTTCGTGTTACCGTTAATCACAGCATCATCATGGGTTGGTGGGGCAAATCATCCGAGGCCAAGACCGAGGAGCAGCAGCGCAAACAGGCGCAGAGCGAAGGCGCTTTTGATCCCACACTGCCCAAGGCCGAGAAGCTGCCCAAGGGGCTGCAGAGGATTGTCGACAAGGCCGACAAAGACGAGAGTTTCTTTGACAGCATAAAGGAGGGAAGGTAATTGCGAGCTGCACCCAACTCAGGTCTTACGAGCGAGAAGCTAAACGCACTTCAGCGCCCCCGACTCGACAGAGAGCAACTTGCGATACGCCGCGTATGCAACTCGGCTACGAACAATCCTTCTGTCGGCTCATCGATATGTCGCCTACACTTCTGATATTGGCGAATCGTTCCGTCCCGTAGCGCACCCGGGCCTTGTTCGCACTGCCTATGGAATCTCATGGCTCTACATCCTCGGAGATGTGTCGTTTGAGGGATACCGCGCGTACTGGCGGAACCAGCGCATCCTCAATCCTCAGCTTCTGCTCAATTCCCACCAACAGCGATTTTCCGGCCTTCCCGAAAAGGAGACTCAGAGCCTTACTCCCGGAGTGGTTTCTCCACTAGAAGACTACCGAACAGTAATGGTGCAGAGAGCCGTCTTCCAAAGCGTGGCCAGTATGGGACTGCCTGCCTTTACCATTCACAGCGTGGTCAAGTACTCTGGAAAGGCGATGAAGAATGTCAAGAACGTTGCTTTGCGAACATGGGGTCCTATTGGCCTCGGACTGTCCGTCGTTCCGTTCTTGCCCAGTCTCTTTGACAAACCAGTCGAAGATGCTGTCGAGTGGATGTTTCACAAGGGCTTTTCGCAGTTTGGAGGCCATGAATACGTCGGCGACTCGCCAGCGACTGGGCGAGAAAAGCTGCTCAACAAGGATCTCAAAGCAAAGAAGGATTAAGTTGACGAAGCGTGCTCTACTCTGGATACGGGATACGGCGTTGGGGCATACTCTACTCTTGGAGCATTAAATATAATGGGATAATTCGTAAATAATACAAAGCAGAGGACTGTTTTGACAATGCAAATCATTTATGCAAAACAATGTGTTGTTTAGTCTGGCGATGCTTGATGTAATATTGCACTTGGTGCGGAGTAGTGAAGGCATAGAGGCATTGGCCTCTAGTGGCCAACTCTGCACACATCACAAACTCATAGCGGGGCTGTGCCATGAATTAACCCCGCGATGTCAGCTGCAGCCTTAATCTCGCCTCGTCTTACACAGTCACTTACCCCTTGTGCTTGGCAAACACTAATGAACTGCTCCCATTCTCTAATTGCATATTTTGGCAACTATCGGATTTCAAAGGATAGGGCGCGGTTGCTAGTGGTAGTACAAGGTGCACGTCCGGACGCATTGCCAAATTTGGTCGTCGTTGATAGGGGCTTCCAGACGCTTCCTTGCCACGTTTGGTCAGCCGACTCTTAATCACCATCAGCCGCGCCGACAGTTCCAGCGCAGCCTCACTGCTTCGCAAGGTTACGACATTCGCTCTGCCTGGCAAAACGCATCGGACTAGTTGGCGAGATTGCAGCGCCTTATTTATTTTCGCGGCCCCCCCAAGATGGCGTCAGGTTCAGATTCCGATGCTCCTGAAACGAGCTACATCATGAAGGACAGGGAAGACGCCAGCTTAGTCGGCACACACTGCCAATACGAATACTGCAACCAGCTTGATTTCCTCCCCTTTTTCTGCCAGTCATGCACAAAGACCTTTTGCTTGGACCACCGCTCAGAATCTGCACACAAGTGCTCGAATCCCGGGGCGTGGGCGGAACGGAAACGACAGGCTCAGCTGTCAAAGCCTTCCATAGGCCAAGGAAGGACGCTGCGAGATAAGATCTCGGAGAAGCCATGCGCTGCAGACTGCGACACGATTGTCGGCACGTCATTAACACCAGGTGTCCACTGCGATACCTGTAACGGGGATTACTGCTTGAAACACCGCTTCAAGGATGATCACAACTGCAAGAACTTGACGCCGCTTGGAGCACGGCCCATGCAAATCGATGTTGCTCAGAGGACGAAATCCGCATTGGATCGACTTCGGGCATGGGGAACGGCCAAGAAAGAACAGGCTGGCAGGGCGTTGCCCAAGCCCAAGCCCAGCTCAGCAGCAGCCCGCCTGGTTGCCGTCAACAACTTGAAGAAATCTGCAAAGGGCGACGACAAGCTAGCACCGGAGAAGCGCGTCTATGTCTATGTGGAGGCTGAGGCCGAGACAGCAAAGGCCAAGTTCCCCAAGGGCGAATTCTTCTATTCCAAGGACTGGGTCATTGGCAGAGTACTGGATGCCGCGGCAAGGAGTCTCCAGGTACAGAATATCAACAATCAGAGCTCAGATGAGCGAGACAAACTACGGATTTTCCATGTAGAGGGCGGCAGGCTTTTGGAATTCGGCGAGAAAGTTGGGACGGCGTTACAGAGCGGGAATACCTTGGTGCTGTTGAGGGGTGTCGGTGCACCTCCGGATTTGATTGAGGTATGAAGAAGACGACGAGAATAGACCGCAATCTCAGGATACTTTTTTTTTTTTTGGTTTTTTATTTCTTAAATCCTGGGAAAATATATACAGACAACGATTCTATGCTGTAGGCATAACGAAGCGCGGATAGATGGAGTGGATCTTACCATGTACATACCTAGATAGCATTATTATCACGCTTTGCAGCGAGAATAAATCGTAATTACTAGTTGAAAAATCTGATAATGCCGCCACATTCTAGGTTTTGAACTGACCTATGTAACAGGACTTGGAGCTTTCAACTTATTAATTACACAGCCAAGCAATTCCTCAAATTGCCATATCAGTTTGATATGTCATCATCCAGGGTAGTTGAAGCTCTTCAGCCGATGCACGTGATCCCGCGTACACTTTCGCGTTAGTGACGACATGCTACTTCTCCTCTCTCCCATCTGCAGCCCGTGAATCGCGTGTATCAAGACATGCCTCCTTATGTGCCTCGGAAAAGGCTAAGAGTGTCCACGCCTGAAACTGCGGCCACCGAGGATGAGAGCGCCAGTGGAGTGAAATCCAAGGCGAGTAATAGCCGAAGGAGAACGCTGTATGACGACCTGGATTCGTCGCACACACCAGGCGGTTCAGATTCCCTTCTCCAAGGCCTTGGAGGCGATGATAGTGACAGCCCTCTGTCCTCGTTGTCAGACAGCGACTTCGAAGATGTTCCTATTGCGAAAAAGCAGATGACGGAGGGCTCTGGTGATGCCGATGAAGATGATGAGGACGATGACATCGAATTTGAGGATGTCGAAGCTCCTCAGCAGCCAACGCTAGATGTGCCAGTGCCGTCAGGCGATCTTGAGCTGACTTTGATCCGGGACACTCGAATATCTCTGACGAATCCATTTGGAGACAAAAAAGGGCCCTCGAAGCGAGAGCGGAAAGTCCGGAATGCGACCCATTGCGTTCACGTTCTCTGTCTTTTATGGCATAATGCGGTTCGGAATTCCTGGATTTGCGATCCTGAAGTGCAAGCGATCATGGTTTCTCATGTCCCGCCTAGGCTCTGGGATGAAGTTGATCGATGGAGACGTAACAGTGGCTTGGTAGACAGCCGACCAACACCCAAGGAAAAGGCGAAAAGGAGAAGAGGCGCGAAGCAAGAGTCTCGGGACTGGAGTGGAACTGCTAAGCGGCTCGAAGAGGGAGCCATCGATATGAGCCACGGAGATCCTCTGTTCCGATTTATGAAGTCGTTAGTCGCCTGGTGGAAACAACGATTTCGAATCTCGGCACCTGGCCTCCGGAAATGGGGCTACATGTCACTGGAACGTCTTGATAGACTCACAAAGGCGTATGTAGATCATGAAGACGACCATGAAGAATTTGGTGAGCGGTTGAAAGGGATAGATGATTTTCGACAATGCGCCATCAACTGCAAAGGCAGCAGAGACGTTGGAGCTCAACTATTTACTGCACTTCTTCGGGGCTTGGGAGTTGATGCTCGGATGGTCGCCAGCCTGCAACCCTTGGGCTTTGGGTGGAATAAGCTGGAGGACGCAGACGCAGAGGAAGAGGAGAAGAAGGAAAACACGCCTGCGAAGTCTACGAACAAGAAAAAGTCTGGAAAGACTCCAGCGGCAGAAAAAACTGTCAAAAATAAAGTGACAGAAAAGCCAGAAGCCAACAGCACCCCATCACGGTCAGCGCGTTCTTCTACAAAGCTATCCACTCCTCCAACCGAAGACGCTGAAGATGACTTGGAATTGGAGTACAAGGATACAGACGATGAGTCTGTCGAAATTGATCTTACACCAAAGGCCAAATCTATATATACGAAAAAGTTCGATAATGATTTGGAATATCCACATTACTGGACCGAGATATTATCGCCTGCTACGAAAAAGTACCTATCAGTCGATCCGATTGAAAAGGGGACTGTCGCCGTAAATAGAGACCTTGTCGAGACATTCGAACCTCGCGGCGCTAAAGCAGATAGGGCAAGACAAGTCATTTCTTACGTCGTGGGCTATTCATGGGATGGAACCGCGAAAGATGTTACTGTACGTTATTTGAAACGGCAGGTTCTTCCCGGCCGATCCAAAGGCGTGAGAATGCCGCTGGAGAAAATTCCAATCTACGATCGCCATGGAAAGGTAAAAAGATATGAAATGATGGACTGGTTCAAGACGGCCATGTCCGGATATAGGAGAGGAGATAAGAAGCATCCCTTGACGGAAGTTGATCAGCAAGAAGACGCAGTAGACTTGAAGCCGGCAAAAGCAGAGAAGAAGGAGGTAAAAGAAGGCGAGGAGACACTGCAGTACTATAAACAGTCGAAAGAGTTTGCGCTAGAGAGGCACCTCAAACGCGAAGAGGCTCTAAGGCGAGGTGCGGAACCAGTCAGAATATTCAAAAATAAAGGAAAGGGCGGCAAAGTCGAGGAAGAAGATGTTTATCTTCGGTCAGATGTTGTTCTGGTCAAAAGCGCGGAAACCTGGCATAAACAAGGCCGAGCTCCACTTGCTGGTGAAGAGCCTCTGAAGAGAGTTCCGTATCGAGCAGCTACATTAAATCGAAAGAGAGAAATTTTAGAAGCCGAAGCAATGACTGGGCAGAAGGTTCTGCAGGGGTTATACAGTTTCGATCAGACTGACTGGATTATACCGCCGCCCATCAAGGACGGCGTTATTCCCAAGAATGAATACGGGTATTTACGTCTTGTAATCCTTTCAGCCTATATACTAATTTTGGTGTAGGAACATCGATCTGTTTGCTGAGCATATGTGTCCTGAGGGTGCAGTGCATGTGCCATTCAGGGGCGTAGGCAAAGTTTGCAAGAGACTCGGGATCGATTACGCAGAAGCCGTAGTAGACTTTGAATTTGGCCACAGAATGGCTGTTCCCGTGATCCAAGGAGTCGTTATTGCGCAAGAACACCACGATAGAGTGATGGTCGAGCTAGAGAAAGATGAGGCTGAACGAGTGAGGAAAGAGGATGAGAAAAGACGCAAAGCGGCTCTTGGCAAATGGCGAAAGTTTCTCATGGGGATGCGTATCGTGGAGAGAATTCGCCAGGAATACGGCGAAGTCGACGAGAGTGTCTCTGTGTTTGGCCATTCCCGAGGAAAGATGCAAGTAGATGAGCCACCAAAAGTTCATGACGAAGAAATGGCGGGCGGATTTCTGCCAGAAGGCTATGAGGAAGATGGTGAAGACCACCGGGCGCATGAGACATCGAACTTCTTTCCCTCGCTCGAAGAAGATGATCACGGTGGAGATGGAGATCTCGTTATGGAAGATGATGGTGGTGCTGCCACGAGCGAAGCGCAAACTGAAACGGAAACTCTGGTGGACGCTAAAGGGAAAAAACGTGTGGCGCCGAAAGTGTATAAGCCACAAACAACACGCCGGAAGAAACGAGTTATTGATGGTGAAGATGAAGATGATCATGAGGATGATGATTGAAGCGATGAGAATGATGGATGATGATTTAGATGGAAGTTTAGCATGTGATGATTTCTGAAAAGTTGGGATATGCTTTGGGCCTTTGAGGTGTACTACGACGGTGGGATATAGAGCCTTTTTTTTTTTTTTTTTTGGCATGTGCCGAGGCATCGACTTCATTTCGAAATGTTTATTCATGTAAAAGTTCATAGTTGAGTCAGGATTTTGGCGAAGATTCTGGCTACGGAGCCATGAACTTGGTATACCTTGAGCTTAGAATAGCCAGGAGAGCTACTGCCTACTACTTGTTCAATTGTGTAGCGAAAACCTACCTTGAGAATCTTATGATCAGATATATTTCTTGGTGTAGAGGTATTATAAATTTGTGCTGATCAATGATCGATATCACGAGTGAGCTCTACCCTTGCCGACTGACGCTCCAGGCTTCTCACTTTCTTCCGAAGCATTAACGTTTGCAGCATTTACTCTATTTCAAATACCATTATCAAAGAGTTGGCAGAGGCTGGTACAAGATGCAGGTAGCAGGAAGGTGGCAAGTGCATATGGATAGATACCAACAACTAAAGAGTATTGGTGCTATATCGGAAGTCCTCTCTACACCTACATATAGGGAAAAGCGTCCAAAGTCGGTGTCGTACATATAACTGAAGGCAAGGGAGCAGCTTAGCGCCATGATGCACTGCTAAGGTGCAACATGAGCTGAGGCTCTGACACAGTGATATCGATGTCGACGACCGCATCTTGGTTCTTCTATCCCTCACAGGGACGCTCTTTGCCTTTTTCCTTTTCCTTTTCCCCATTCTCCACTCGTTTTTTGTCCCATCCTTTGTTATCGGGTGGGTAATTCAAGAAAAGCCCGCCTGGGGCCTTCTGGAATTCTATATTCTTTTTCCTTTCAGCCAGCTTGACAAGATTCACTTAATGAGACGCAGAGCACTGCTGCCTGGGCGAGAATGTCTATATAATATCCCATCATTCGCCCTCTCCCTCGAGAATTTTCTAATTTGAATCTCTATTCGCTAATATTGGTGATTGCTATTCGACTATATTGGCTGTTGGGCATTGCCGCTGTCTCCGACTATATAATATCCACGGACATCACTAGTGCCGTGATATCGTCCACTCTTTCCACTATTTGACGTCATATAGCGACTTGAAGACCGGGAATATTTCGATTCCAGCCTCTTTATTTTTCTTTTCACCCTCGGCGTGCAATGCCGTGTGAAGAGTGAGATGTGTATCGTACCTATGCTAGATCTAGGCCTAGGCCTACTAGTACATATGCTACCTCTACCAAGCTTAACGGATTTAGTTTCCCCCTATTTTCATGCTTCTGGTGTATGTTTATGTCAAGGCTAATCTAAATAGTGCAGTCCTGGCGGAATTTTGGCTTTTGAAACAAAATAAGACCTCTGCGCATTCGTCTATGCTTTTGACTATAGGCTAATTCACCTCCAGAGAATCTTGTCATGAGCCCTGAGTGAGCCTTTTCAATCAATCTACCCGAGATGCTTTTTAGCAAGTGGTCCTAGACACTGAGCTCTGGTATCTGGAATGGATTGTAGAAGGACGCAGATGAACTGCTGTGGTGTCATTAAACACATCACTGGCCTCGCGGGATCGGGAATGGAATACCTGAGAGAGGAGCAGAAAAGAGGGACCAAGCCGAAAAGTACCGAAAATGGGTCGAATGCGAAAGAGGAGGAAATGGAGGATAAGATGGCTGATATAAACTTATTATCTCGGCAATGCGAGGAAAGTTAGGGGGGGTTCAAACATGAATATCAAAATGATGTACGTTTGACTTCGCGCACTATAGTTTAACAGACTATAGCCACAATCCGTATATGGAGAGCTAATCTATCTTTTAGAGCTGAAGTACTCCTGTTTGGTTTCCTAGACTCGAGATAGGCGGCTCTCATAGCCGAGGAAAAAAGACAGCGCGTTTTATTCTTTGCATATCTGCATCTCAAACAATATGCCACAACCAGAACGCAATGAAGCCAATCGACCGTGATTGATTATTGCACGACTCCGAAGTTCGGCTAGATACATTAGATCGTCGAGCACATGATGCTTGCAGATTTATAGAGAGAGTTTCGATTACACTTTGAGCACACCTCGCTTGAAGAGTCGCTCAGCTAGTTCCAATTATACTCCAAGTAAACGATGCTTGCAAAGTCTCTCAAAGAGTTTCAATTATACTCAGCGTACACAGTGCTTCCAGAGTCGCCGAGAGAGTTTCGATTATGCTCCATTACTGCCCACTCCGAGCACCAATTTTATAAAAACGCCGATGAACTTGATATTATAGTTCGGTGTCCAGGAAGTTCAAGCCACGGAAATTTTCAGAAACTCTTTCAAAATCGTTGAAACTCTGGTTGTAGTAGCTGAGGCGTTCTTCCAGTTGTTTTGTTATAAAAGAGTGCTGAATTCCTCTAAAATCATGTTTGGTCAACCTCACACTCACACTCACACACTCACACACACACACACACACACACACTTACACTCACACTTAATCTCAATCTCAATCTCAATCTCAATCCCAGTCTCAGTCTTAGTCTCGAACCCAGTATTTCTCTCAAAGATAGTCTCAACATGGATATGAATACCAGTTCTCAAGCTTCAAACAGCAATGCGCCCTTTGAGCGGCCGGCGGTTGGAGATGCCGAGCCGCCTGCTGAAAGCCTCTCGCAGCCTATGAACTATCAGGTGCCCTTGGAAACACCCTTGGAACAGCAACAGCTCTCGGAGCAGCAAATGCTCACGCAGCTGGAAGAACCATCATGGGAGGGGCTGGACTTTGAGGCTTCTCAATTGCAACTAGTGCAGTCGTTTCTTCGGCAGCAACAAGAACAACCAGAATCCCAGCAGGAGCAACAAGAACAACAAGAACAACAAGAACAGCAGCAGCTGCTGCTGCAACAACAACAAGAAGAACAAGAACAACTGCAGCAGCAGCAAGAAATGCAGCAGCAACAAGAAATGCAGCAACAACAACTGCAGCAGCAACTCCAGCAGCAGCAATATCAACAACAACTGCAGCAGCAACAAGAAATGCAGCAACAGCAACAAATGCAGCAGCAGCAACAAGTGCAGCAACAACAACAACTAGTGCAGCAACA